TAGTATATAATGACTGGCAGAGTGATCTAATATTCGTCCGGGTGGCAACAGGCAGCTAATTGCCTCGTTCCTTTAAAACAGGGGTGCTCAATACGTCGATCGCGATTTACCAGTCGATCGCCAAGGTCGTGTGGGTAGATCGCCGTGTCTCGTCTCGGACTCGCGTTTGGACTCGGTCTTGTCTGTCACTCAAGGTCTGACACTCAACAAGTGCGATCATATTTCATTACGGCCGCTGCTGTTGGTAATAAACTTGTACAGGTGTGCCAGAGCGTGTGGGGCGTCTCAGTGCAGCCTGTGCGCTCAGTGTAGCCCGCAGAGACTCTACGGCACATCACAAACACACACGCTCCCTACGCACGGCTCGTCTGCAACAGCGTGTGCCCTCGTGTACCAGCGTGCATCAAAGGGCAGGTTAAACTTCCTAAACATCCTACCTGTCCATCTGCCTCACGTCAGCACGCCGCCCCTCGCCTTTTCACGCTCTCGCTCCTTCCTGCGTACAGCGAACACAAGCCCCTCCCACAGTGTGCGCTGATTAGAAGAGCAACACGAAACGTGGAGCAAAAACGAGTCTAAATTTGTGTTACAGTGTTGGCACAAAGCAGGTCTACAGCATAGAGCGGATCTACAGAACAGACCTACTGCTACATTTGGCTGAAGTTTGTCTAATTAAAGTGCACAAATGCATCTGTGTTTGTCACAATGTGCGTTGGTTTGGTAAACGTGCAGAGGCTGGTAAATATCACTGCAAAACCAGAAAAGAATGCAACTCCAGTTTGGAATTTTAAAAAACAGGTTTAAAAATCTTCCTTCACTTTTTTCACAGTTTTGTGTAAAGTGCCAGAGGAAGTTCTCTTAAAGAAGGGGTTCTCAAACTGTGGGTGAGGGTCCAAAAAAGGGGCACAGAGTGTCCAGTCCACAGAGAGTGCAGTTTGCTTGGTTTTGTATTAGGTCGATCTTTATGACTTGGTCATTTTGTAAGTAGCTCATATGCAGAAAAAGTGTGAGCACCCCTGCTTTAAAAGAATTAGTAACGCATGTGCATGGTGACAGTCATGGAGAAGTTTTTAAAACGGACGAATGCAAACTCCGAACTGGGCCCTGGACAAGATTCTGACCCAGAAGAAGAGCTTTTCAAGCTTAACTGCTATAAAAACTAAAAACAGAGAGAGACTGAGAGCTGTTGATGAAGAGCTTCGTGTGTGTCTTTCTTCTATTCCTGCCAGGATATCAGCTTTGTGTTCATCTAAACAGGCGCAGGTCTCACACTGAGTAAGTAGAAATTAATGTAGAAATTATATTGTAATTAAATATACTGTATAGTGTCATTTTGTAACATTTTGGTTAGTGGTGTGCCACAAGATTTTTCCAATGTAAAAAAACGTGCCGTGGCTCAAAAAAGGTTGAAAAACACCTGCAATACAATACAATAAAATACACTACACTACTATACAATACAATACAATACAATACGCAACACTACACTACAGTACAGTACTATACAATACACTACTATGCAATACACTACACTACACTACACTACACAACACTACACTACACTACTATACAATACAATACAATACAATACGCAACACTACACTACAGTACAGTACTATACAATACAATACAATACAATACGCAACACTACACTACAGTACAGTACTATACAATACACTACTATGCAATACACTACACTACACTACACAACACTACACTACTATACAATACACTACACTACACAACACTACACTACAGTACAGTACTATACAATACACAACAATACACTACTATACAATACAATACACAACACTACACTACAGTACAGTACTATACAATACACAGCTATGCAATACAATACAATACACTACACTACTATACACTACACTACACTACACAACACTACACTACACTACACTACTATACACAACACTACACTACTATACAATACACTACACTACACTACAGTACACTACACTACTATACAATACAATACAATACAATACAATACACAACACTACACTACACTACAGTACTATACAATACACGACTATGCAATACAATACAATACAGTATACTACTATACAATACACTACACTACACTGCAGTACACTACACTACACTACTACACAATACAATACAATACAGTACACTACAATACACTACAACACACTACACTACAATACAATACACAACACTACACTACAGTACAGTACTATACAATACACTACTATGTAATACAATACAATACTGTACACTACATTACAATACACTACAATGCACTACTCTACACTACAGTACAGTACTATACAATACACTACACTACACTGCAGTACACTACACTACACTACTTTACAATACACTACTATACAATACAATACAATACACTACACTATACTGCAGTACACTACACTACACTACTATACAATACACTGCAGTACAGTACAGTACACTACTCTACTATACAATACACTGCACTACAGTACACTACAGTACAATACAATACAATACACTACACTACACTACACTACTATACAATACACTGTACTACACTACACTACACTACAGTACTATACAATACAATACAATACACTACACTACACTACTATACAATACACTACTATACAATACAATACAATACAGTACACTACAATACACTACTCTACACTACAATACACTACACTACACTACACTACACTACACTACTTCACAATGCAATACAATACAATACAATACAATAAAATACACTACACTACACTACACTACACTACACTACACTACTATACAATACAATACAATACAGTACAATACACAACACTACACTACAGTACAGTACTATACAATACACTACTATGCAATACAATACACTACACTACTATACAATACAATACACTACTATACTATACAATACAATACACTACAGTACTACACTACTATACAACACACTACTATACAATACAATACACTACTATACAATATACTACACTACACTACTATACAATAGACTACACTACACTACAGTACACTACTATACAATACAATACAATACAATACAATACAATACACTGCAGTACACTACACTACTATACAATACACTACACTACACTACACTACACTGCAGTATACTACACTGCACTACAGTACTATACAATACACTACACTACACTACACTGCAGTACACTACACTACTATACAATACACTACTATACAATACAATACAATACAGTGCAGTACACTACACTACACTACTATACAATACACTACACTACACTGCAGTACACTACAGTACACTACAGTACACAGTACACTACACTACTATACAATACACTACTATACAATACAATACAATACAGTGCAGTACACTACACTACACTACTATACAATACACTACACTACACTGCAGTACACTACAGTACACTACAGTACTATACAATACAATACAATACTATACTATACTATACAATACACAACACTACACTACACTACTATACACTACACTACACTACACTACACTACACTACATTACAATACAATACAATACACTGCAGTATACTACACTACAGTACTATACAATACCTTACAATACACTACATTACACTACACTACACTATTATACAATGCAATACACTACACTACACTACACTACACTACACTACACTACTCTACACTACTATACAATATAGTACACTACACTACACTACTGAATGTGGCAAGACCGGCTTTGAGGGTCTAGGCTGCGGGTGCTCTTAAACTGGCGTTTCGTGGCGCTGCGCTGGTGGGCTATTTAAGCGCTCCCTTCTCAGTCGTTCCCCTTTTGGCTCACACGCTCTTCCGGGCCTCTCCTTGTGCCCGCTCTGTCCTCCAGGTCAGTGCCGCTGCTTGGCCGCTGCTTGGCCGCTGCTTGGCCGCTGCTTGGCCGCTGCTTGGCCGCTGCTTGGCCGCTGCTTGGCCGCTGCTTGGCCGCTGCTTGGCCGGTCCTCTCCACCGCATCAGTCTCTCGCTCCTCCGAATCACGGAGCACCTAGGGCGCGCTTTCATCTCTGCCGACAAGCTCCACAGGTGAGCCGAGTGAGTCCCTCACCATTGCGCTTGGCTGTGCGCCGCTGTGTCCCTTAAACCGCGGCGGCAGCGTGTGCCGGTCCACGTTGTTTGGACCACGTCTGGACGCAGTAATTCTGTGTAAAGTTACTTTGATTCAGCCTGGGGATTGCGCACTGTCACTGTCACCAACCACGGTGTCAGCGGGGGCCTGCAGCGGCGTGAGCACACCGCCTCTGCTGTTTTGTTTTACCTTTGCTTTACGTTTGCTTTACTGTTTTGTTTTGTTTGCTTTTGTTTTGCTTGTTTTGTTTTGCTTTAGTTTTGCTTCATTGTTTTGCTTGTTTTATTTTGCTTTAGTTTTGCTTCATTGTCTTGTTTTGTTTGTTTGGTTTCACTGCTGTTTTTACTTTAGTTTTGCTTCGGGTTTTGGGGTTTCGTTTTGTATTTTCAATATTGTGTACCTGTTCTCCCACTGCAGTGTTTTACTGTTTTGCCTATTTTTATGGATGTAGCCACTTTTAAATAACCTAAAATTGTCTTTTAAAATAGAGAAAATAAAGTTTGTGTAAATGATGGAACCTCTCTCTCCCTCAATGATATGCTTACCTGTGTGCCTTACATTTAGACTTTATTTCCCCAAACTAAATTTGGGGTGGCATTGTTGCGAGAACTTATTATAAAATGTAACATTTCCCGGAGTGTTAACCTCTCGGTTGCCACATCTACACTACTATACAATACAATACACTACACTACACTACACTACTGTACAATACAATACACTACACTACACTACAGTACTATACAATACAATACAATACAATACACTACACTACACTACAGTACTATACAATACAATACACTACACTACACTACAGTACTATACAATACACTACACTACACTACACTACATTTTGTCTGTTTTTTGGCTTAAATGTTACACAGTGGGGCTTTAATCATCTTTATTTCACAGCATCAAGTCAGTGTTTGCACTACATGCACAGAGAACTCAGAGTGTGCGAAACAACCACATTCTCATCATGAAAACTGCCAGACTCTGTCCACGTGTGCAGCAGGTCAAAGAGCCCAGTGGTGTGAAGTGTTGGGCTGTGAGACATTCAGGCGTTCACGTTAACATAGTGAATTAAGACAAAACAACATGTGCTAGTCCGTGGTGGAGGGATTGTAGTTTGAGTACATGTAAATTATCTGCCTGTCTGTTTCTCACATCATGCAGTTGAACACCTCTCCCAGTCTGCGCCTAATGTGCATCCAGTTTCAGTTCCAGTAAACGCAGATGTGTTTTTTCAATGCTGGAACATGAAACGATAAGATTTTTGTTGAAAACTTATTACAAATATGAGTCTATAAGTGGTTAATATGAGCATATGAAAAAGCTCTGACTCTATCTCCCAGGGCGGGGCAGGACGAGCTCTCCACTCGCTCCCCATCCCTCAGCGCATTCCATTCAAGCTCTTCCCTCCCTGAACTTCTTCGCTGCAGCCCCCACCCCCTGGAAGTCCCTCCCCAAACACACCAGAGACTCATCCACACGCCCCATGCTCAAAAAAGCCCTGGAAACTCATCTGTTCAGAACAGCCTTCAGATAAATGTGTCCCATTTTGATCTGGGTCTTCATTTGTGTGTGTGAAGCATCTTTGAATGTCAAGAAAAGCTCTGTACAAGTGTTATGTATTATTTTTTTTTTCTTATTCTTCTTGTGTCCCTGGCAGGGTGGGGTGTGGGTGATGTCTTTAGCAGGGTGGGGTGTGGGTGAGGTCTTTAGCAGGGTGGGGCGTTGACACACTTTTGCCTCTCCCGAGTGGCAGGGGACCCACAGTCCACCAGAGGTTGCCCATAGAACGTCGCCTTCAGCTCCTTGCGGCCAATGGTGGGACTGCAAAAGAGGAGACAGGACTGAACCAGGACTAAACCAGGACTAAACCAGGACTAAAACAGGACTGAACCAGGACTAAACCAGGACTGAACCAGGATTAAACCAGGACTAAACCAGGACTATGGCAGGACTGAACCAGGACTAAACCAGGACTATGGCAGGACTGAACCAGGACTAAACCAGGACTATGGCAGGACTAAACCAAGACTAAACCAAGACTAAACCAGGACTGAACCAGGACTGAACCAGGACTGGACAGGTCTAGACTCACCTGTAGTCCTTATAGTCCGGTTCACACCTCGTCTTGCGTGAGCGTTTAGAATTCTCACCACAGGGGGGCAGGCACAGGCTCCAGGGCTCCCAGCCGTTCCACTGGCCCTTGACTGGGGACAGAGGACACGTGTCACACATGTGTCACCACACAAGCTCTTTAACAAAGTAAAGCTCGGGTCCTGCCAAATGAAGCTCCTCAAGGTTAGGAGTTATAGGGGCGAATTTGGAGTTCCATAATAGTAATTTGTTATTGTAGCAACCAAAGAATGAATCAGGAGAGAGACTGCTGAAGGTAACGTCCACTCCCGCCCGCATGCTGGTTTAGCAGGAGTGACCTCAGAGAAAGAAGATGCCTTAATGAGGAGCCCGACAGCAGCAGTTGCAGAGAGAAGGGCCACATTTTTTCAATACAAAGTGAATTGGAGCCAGAGCCAATGGAGCCAAAGTGCACTCATGCTCACTTCCTATTAGGAATGTGGCAGCTAGTGGATTAGCTCTGTCCAATTATCTGCACAGCTTATGGTGTTTTTCTTGCTCGAGGGCCTGTAGTCGCCTGCGCCCTGTAATCATACCACTAAGTTTCTTTCAGAGGACTGACCGTAGCACCCGTTGACGTCGTAGCACACCCGTGTCTCGGACAGTGGCTCCACTGGGCAGGCTGCGCCCCCTAGTGCCCTGTGGAGGCAGCGGCGCTCTCGGCTCTGGCTTCCCCCCAGTTGCTCACAGCGGATGGAGTATGAGGGGTCAAACACGTCCTGACAGGGGCCCCAGGATGACCACTCCGACCACACACCGTCCACTGGTCAGCACCGACACAAGAGCAGGAAGGACATTACATCAGGTCAGGCTGCTTACGAGAGGATTTTATAGGAACAAAATATTGAAAGAACAACTGAAAAACCGGGCATGAGTGAAGCTGAACTCTGAGAGAGAGAGAAACGATTTTGTTGTGAACAATGGACAGCTCGATTTTCATTTAGCCTCAGACCAGATCATTTATACAGAAGGTTCTGAGTTCAATCCCTGCCTCACCAGGGGCTTTCTGTGTGGAGTTTGACCTTAGAGACCAGATGTGTGATGGTGACCTCTGCCCTGAGGGTCACACAGTCGCTACAGTCTAATCTATGAGACTGGGCCCTGGTAACTCTGTACACATCCAGAATGTTAAGAACCTGAAGCTGAACACTTTTCTTCAAGAATCTCCAGTGTCCCTTTAGAACAGAGCGGCCCTCACCTGGACAGTGCGTCTGAGTGTTGCACATCTGAGAGCGTCTGCTGTCTCCGTGGCAACCCTGACCTCCGTGTTTGGGGGCGGGGTTATTGCAGGAGCGAGTAGACAGCTGGAGGCCCACCCCACAGGTGACTGGGCAGGGGGTGAAGGGGGACCAGGGACCCCAGGAGCCGTGCACTTTAATATACACACACAAATACTACAATCAGTACATAATACACCCAAGGTTATTTTCAATACGCTGTGCTTCCTGTGACCACAGTATTCATTAACATTACACACAAAACAATTTTTATACTTTCGGAGAGTACTTGACAAAGCACTGACCCTGACAGTAGTTGAGGCCGGGACAGGGGCCCCTCTCGTGGTTGGGGCCCTCACACATTCCAGTGCCGCTGGGTGAGATGCAGACACGACTCCTGCTCCTGTGTGGAGCCATCCCCCCATCAGGAACACATGTACCAGAGCACTCTGACCACTGCGACCAGCCCGTCCAGAAGTTAGGCACTGGTGAAAGTTAGGCCTGGTTTAGTCCTGATTCAGTCCTGGTTCAGTCCTGGTTCAGTCCTGGTTTAGTCCTGGTTCAGTCCTGGTTCAGTCCTGGTTCAGTCCTGGTTCAGTTGTGGTACAGTCCTAGTACAGTTCTGCTTTAGTCCTGTTCCAATCCTGATTCAGTGCAGATTTAGTCCTGGACTAATCCTGGTCTAGTCCTGGTCTAGTCCTGGGTCACCTGGACAGGGGCTGCTGCACACCGAGCTCCTGGTGCTTGGGCCCTCGCAGTAGCGTCCTCCGTACTGAGGAGGGGGCTGGTCACATGACCTGCGGCTGAGCTGGAGGCCCTCCCCACAGGGCACAGAGCAGGGCCCGGGGTCCAACCAGGGGCCCCAACCTCCATCCACTGTGGCAGCCAATCACAGCAGAGCGTAAGAACCGGCGTAATACAACCAGGTATTATACGCTCTCAATAAAGTCAATAAAGGCTCACTGTGCCTCACCTGCACACTGACGTAGCTCAGAGCACTGCTGTGTCTGCACACTGTCTCCAGTGCAACTGTCACCAGGGGGCACCTTTGAGGGAGGGGGGCTGGAGCAGGATCGACGCCGCACTCGAGTCGGAGCGTTATCATGGAGACTGACACACGAGCCTGAACACTCAGACCAGTCTGACCAAGCTGACCATCCTCCATGGACTGGACGGAGAGAGATCATACACACACACATGCACACACATGCACACAGAATAAGGCAAGAGGGACATGTGGGACATATAAGACATGTGGGACACTGTGTCGGCGGCAAGGTGGGGCATTTGAGGGCCGTGCCCCCCCCCTAGCGGCCACTGGTGCCCCACCCCCAACAGGCCGTTATTATTACTATTTTAAAATGATTTTGATTGGCGCATTTCACTTCGGGCTGAGGGCACAAACTTTACTGTGACATCAATGACATCACAGTCTCTGTTTATTTAGTGTAGTGTGATTGGACAACTGTCCTGTCACTCACGTCACGACATGTCAACCTGCTGCGTCAACTCGTAGCAGCTCCACGATTAGCGGCAACTGCTACTTTAGCCTAAAGCTCCACACAGGAAATGGCGAGAACAGAGTCAAAGACACACTGACAGACCCGCCGCTGGGACCCGGGACTGTCGCCGCACGGACTCGGGGCAGTCGCCGCTGGGACTCGGGGCAGTCGCCGCTGGGACTCTCGCTGCCGCCGCCGGGGCCAGGGCAGTCGCTCGCTGCTCTATCCGCCTTTGCTCGCTCGTTTCTGGGTGTAAAAGTTTGACCTGAGCATAGCGCGTAGAGGGCATAATTCTACCTGGTGTCCTGGTGCTGATATGGACTGACCGTATCTTTCAGATTGAAGTGGGAAGTGGGATTAAGACTAATTTTACAACCATCTTGTGCACTCGGCTCCCGGACCTCGCGTCACGGACCAGACTGGAGAGGATTTGGACCAGTTTCATCTCTTCATATTGGACAATAGACTTTTGGAAACAGAACCAGTGGGACAGTGGATAGAGGAAACATTCTGCCTCAGTCTCTGGAGAAGGTAAGAGGCTGGTTTTCATTAGTTTGCGGCAAATCTGAACTTGGAGCCTCACAGGTAAATAGTGTTATAGTGTTAATAGTTAATAGTGCGTAAATGAGCTGGTGGGTGCGATGGAGCTGCTCTGGTTGTTCTGTCGTGTGCTGTAGGAGCGGCATCTGTGTTCATGTCTCTTATTACAGTTTTACTGACGTTGTTGGGTCTGGGTGTGAGCGGCGTGTTACGTTGTGTTGTTGCGTAAAGTTTGCGCTTGGCTGTTCATTGTGCTCTGATCGATACTGTTCAGCCAATACTAACCAAAATGTCTGTTTCTGGTATTTGTTATAATACTACAGCCTATATATATAATACATATATTATTCATAATATATATTTATAATTTTGCCCTTGGTGCCCCTCCCAAAAATTATACCATCAGCCACCACTGGTCCTGGTTTAGTCCTGGTTTAGTCCTGGTTTAGTCCCGGTCCCTCAAGTCTCAGGTCTCTATAGGACAGGACTGGACGGCGACTCGCGTACCACGTTCACTACAGCCCTGGTGCTGTCCGATGCGTGGCTATTTCTAGTTCAGTGGTGTTTTTGATGAGAGGCTGTTGTTTAATGTTTACAACCAGTGGCAGGACTTATTGTTTTTTAATAAACCTCAACCTTTTATTATTGTCTTGTGTGCGTATCGTCTACCACACAGCCTCAACAACTATTGCAGCTAATAATAATAATAATAATCTTAATATAATAATGATTATAATAACAACACATAATTAGCCTAATACTGTTAAAGAAAAACGTGTTTGATAGCATGTCTGCTGTGTATGACTCCACCGCGTTAAAATATTTCTCAAATGGTAGTGCCCCCCCTGCTGGTGACCCATGCCCCTCCAGTAGATTTGCTCTGACGCCGACTCTGGTGGGACATATAAGACATGTGGGACTTATAAGACATGTGGGACTTATAAGACATGTGGGACTTATAAGACATGTGGGACTTATAAGACATGTGGGACTTACAGAAGGCATGTGAGATATATGGGACATATGCAGGACTTGTGGGACATACAAGACATGATGGAGCTATTACATGTGGGACATGTGGGACACTGACCTGGGCAGGTTGTGAGGACACAGGCCTGTGTCTCCTCCGTTGGTCCAGCGCACGCTAACGCACACTCTATACGATCAGAGCACTTCCTGTTTCTACTCTTGACTCCGCCCTCTCCACAGCTCACTGAACAAGCAGACCAAGAGGACCACTCGCTCCATCCCTCCCCTGCAAAATCAACCAATCAGAGGCTGTCCTGGTATGACCGCAGTTACATGTGGTGTCCTGATGGGGCAGTATTTACCATCGCAGCAGGTGCCGTTACACGCCTCGGCTTGTACCTTGACTTCGGTCCTCACTGCTTCACACTCTGATTTGCCGATGCCATAGCAGCTCCGCCTCCTGAGCCTCACCCCCTCCCCGCACAGAGTAGTGCACTGGGACCACTCAGACCAGCTGGTCCAGGTCGGAGGCCTAACATCACAAACTCATTAGGTCACAGATAGTGTTTCACTGCCCACTACATACACCCTGAAAAGAATATACACGCAAAAGCACAGCATCACAAACCAGAGCCAGAAGCAGAGGACACTGTGAGGTCCAAAAGCAGAGGACACTGTGAGGTCCAAAATTGAGTGCATGGAGTTGTACAAGATCAACAGGACTCTAAGAGCCTTCATTGCAAACGCGATGCAGTTGTGGAAAACCACCCTTGAAGCCAATGGGAAGCCACTTGCACAAGTGTCCCTCAAATGTGGCATATATCAAGGAGACTCACTGTCCCCACTGCTGTTCTGCATAGGTCTGAACCAACTCAGCCAAATCATTGCACACGGTTACCGACTCAGTCATCAGTCAGTCACCATGAGTCACCTCCTCTACATGGATAACATCAAACTGTACGCCAAGAGCGAGCAAGACATCGACTCACTGATCCACACCACCAGGATCTACAGCACAGACACTGGAATGTCATTCGGAAAAATGTAGTAGGATGGTGACAAAGAGAGAGAAGGTAGTCCACACAGAGGGGGTCGCACTCCCAGAGGGAGCAATAGCAGACATTGTACCTTGGTATCCCACAAGCAAATGGCAACCTTGAAGAGGCAACAAGGAAAGCGGCTATGGCCAAATACCTGCAAAGAATGAGGCAAGTCCTGAGAAGCAGCTCAATGGTAAGAAGAAGGCCCAGGCAATAAACAGCTACGCCCTGCCAGTGATCAGATACCCTGCAGGAATCATAATCTGGCCAAAGGAGGAGATACAGACCACAGATATGTAAGATCCTTACACGAAAGCTCCTGACCATGCATGGAGGGTTCCACCCCAAATCCAGCACCCTGAGACAGTACACAAGCTGGAAGGAAAGGGGCCAAGCACGAGTGAATGTGGGAACCACTGTCCACGATGAAACCTCCAAGCTCCTTGAGTACATCAAGGACAAGGCCCTGACAGATGACATGCTCAGAGAATGTCCCAGACAGTGGGGTCCAGAGGAAGAGGTACTGGAGGGACCATCATGGCAGGACAAGCCCCTACATGGGGCGGACCACCGAAAGTGGCTGATCAAGAAATCCTACCAATGGCTTGAGAGGGCTGGTCTGAAGGACACAAGAGACTCATCCTGGCTGCACAGGAGCAGGCCCTTAGCGCCCAAGCATTATAGACCCAGATCTACCACACCAGACAAGACCCACGGTGTAGACTGTGCAAAGAGGCTCCTGAGACAGTCCAGCACATAACTGCAAAGCGTTAGATGCTGCAGGGAAAGCAAACATTGAGCGACAGAACCAAGTGGCAGGCATAGTGTACAGAAACATCTGTGCAGAGTACGGGCTGGAGATCCCAAGGTCAAGGTAGGAAACACCTCCAAAGGTTGTGGAGAATGACCGAGCCAAGATCCTGTGGGACTTCCAGATACAGACTGACAGGATGGTAATGAACCAACCAGACATAGTGGTGGTGGATAAACAACAGAGCAGAGTCGTGGTGGTGGACATCGCAATACCAAGTGATGGTAATATCAGGAAAAAGGAACACGAGAAACTAGAGAAATACCAGGGGCTCAAGGAGGAGCTGGAGAGAGCCTGGAAAGTGAAGGCATCAGTGGTGCCTGTGGTGATTTGAGCACTGATCCCCTCACTCACACACACACTCACACACATTCGCACATACGTGGCACTCACCCACAGGACTGGCACTGGCCATCCTCTGTCTTGTAGCCGTACTTGGGGTTAAGACAGCAGGTGTCCTCGTCCACCTCTCCTATGTCCTCCTCACAGCTCAGAGAGGACCAGACAAACCGTGAGAAGCACCGCACGCCATCTGGACAACACAAATCAACAGTAATCTCGGCCTATGTCATTGGAGGTGTAATACTCCCTACAACAGAAGCATAGCCAGACTGGACTGCACTAAACTGGTTTGAACAACACTATGACAGAGCCATGAAGGTTCATGTTTCTGTGCTGGCTCTATAATCATGTAAATACACGTCTCCTGAGTCCATTAGTCTTTATTAGACTTTATAGGACTAGAACATTACGTGTGTTTGATGTTTACTTTAGTCCTTGTGTAGCCTCACATAGTTTGGCCACTGCCAGTCAACATAGGGGCATAGCATCGGCAGGCACGCCTCCCCCTGTTTTCACTTCTGTGTTTCCAAATTACACGCACTATTTAAATGCAGAGTTCAGGGGTTCACTTAGCTGCTGCTCGACTTCACTTGTCCGCGGGTATATGATAGCTGCCTGACTGACTACAGCCTGTTCCCTGTGTTGCGTGCTCCACGGCCCCTGACGAGCTTCGATTTTAGATGCTGTTGGCCACTGCTGTTTTGTTTGGGTTAAGTTAGTTTTCGTCTAGTTAGGGGTTCTCGTGGGTTGGGTGTCGATATTGTTTGCCCCCGGTTCGATTTTAGTTATGTAAGATACCCTGTTCTTTTCTTGTGTATATTTTATAAATTTATTTGTTTTTCCTAGGGTTGGCGCGGCGCGGTCGCCCCACTCGGTGGAGGGTTGGTGTCGGAGTTCCCCACTTCAGGCTCATCACTCCTCATGTGTTATGGTATTTTTGCACGCCCTCACTTTGCACGTTTTAAGTTACCTTTAGGTTTTTTTTATTTGTGTGTGTGTGTGGTTCACGGAGCCCAGTGGATACTCCAATCCCAGGTGGTTGCTGCTCACACCGGGTGCGGCCCGTGTAGCCTACCCTATATTTTATAATCTGTGCTGATTTGCATCGGTTTTTAGCCTGGACTCACATATTTATACTTTTGTAAATAAATATTGTTAAATTCTTTAAAGCGTCTCATTTCCTCATTTTAACCACCACTTGCAGTCCTTACCTGTGTTTTAAGTAATCTGCCCTGTTGGGTTACACTTGATAAGACGCTGAGGAGCAGTGGATCTGCCTGGGGTCAGGAGGAGGAGCAGTAGATGTTGGAGAAGGTTTGGGGAGTGGGGTCAGAGTGAGGCTGTGCAAACAGCTGTGATGGGAAACAGATGCTGGCTTCTGCACAGGCTCTTCCCGGACTCCAGTCAACCCCCACACACACATCACACACACTCAAATATACACCTACACACACACACAAGCACACAAACAACACTCAAAACACACTCAAACCCCTCATACACACAAACCCCACTCACTCATACAACACAAACACACACACACAATCAAACACACAGTACACAGTACACAAAGTACACAAGTCATGTTTGGCTAAATATTTGTTGCATCTGTAGATGCCAGTGGCTTTGTCCTCAGCCAATCTGAAAGTTTTTACAGACAACACAAACTGCCCTGAATATCTTATTGACAGGAGAAGGTATTTTTAAAATGACCCCACCACCCCCATGAGCCTCACCTGCCCCCTCCCTGCTCTGTACTCACCTGTGCAGTGGAGGTGCAGTAGTAGTACTAGAAGCAGTAGTGTTCCCCTGAATACTTTCATGTCTGTGTGAGCTCTGTCCACTGTGCACTCCCAATATTTACTTGTCTCCTCCCCTCCTCTATTTTATACCCCCTCAGTGCCTTTGGCCCCCTCCCAGTTTGAGCGACAGTTAAAGTCCAGTGTCCAGAGGCGGCTACTTCCTTCACATAACAGTTTGTTGACTTTAAGGTGCTTAAAGCGCCTATATTACACAAACCTGACTCTTGTGAGGGTTTAGCCACAAATTATGTTATAATGCTGTTACATCCTCAAAAACAGAGGTGTTTTTTTATTTCACACGTTTGAGTAACCCTTTATTATTAGTCTGTACACACCTCTAAAGCTCAATATACTTTGTTCCACCTTGTGATGTCATGAAGTGACAGAGCCTTTTACCTTTAGTTCAGTACAGATGGCAATTCCAGGGCTGAAATCATCCAAATGATTCTATAGATGTGTTCGTGCCTGCTTCTAAAAGCACTGGTATACAAAGTGAAAAGAAGAGGTAAGTGAACACAGCCCTGTGGGGTTCCAGTGGCCAATAACACTGACACTCAGCTCGAACAGCATCTTCATCAAGGTGCTGCTAACACTGTATTAAGCGGCGCCCAGTAATATGGTATTAAATGCTGAGCTAAAGTTCATTAACAATATTCTGGCATATGATGAAGGATCCTCCAAATGTTTCAATAACAAGTGGGCAGTAATGACAAGAGCGTCATCGGTGCTTCTGTTGCTGACGTGACCAAACTGATAAGGATCCCTTTAGGGCTGTTGGCATTCAGCCTTAGGTTGGGTTGGTCATAAATAAGACAGCATGTCTGTGTCTGTACAGTGCTTTAATCACACACATTTTGCACATTTACAGGATCAGAGACAAACAAATAAATAAATAAACCAAACCATCAGTAGTGTTCAGCAATTTCCACTGAGAACGCTTGGATGAGGTGTGTGGCGCCTTCTGCTGGCTACAGATGCTATAAAGCCCATGAAACAATGGAAAACAGTGTGTCCATTATCAACATAAAGTAAGATGGCCATTATAATGACATGTTTCTATAGTAACCGTAGGCTGTGTTCACACTTGCACACCACATCAGAAAGGGGATTTAACTGGGACTAAACCAGGACTAGAACAGAACCTAACCAAGTCTCCATCAGAATTACACTGGCATCAGACCAGGGTTAATCCAGGACAAATAAAAGCATTCAGTGAAACCAGCCTGTTCATGGAGCAGTGCCTGTAAAAAGACTAAGGTGGATTGAGAAAACTCAGATGATCAGAGGTGGGCAAACTGGTTACATTTACTCAAATACATTTTCTTGAAGTTGGTGTTTTTAAATATAATTGTATTTCTCTGTTTCATGTTTAGACCCCATACTTTTACTCCTACTTGATTTATATATTTAGTGTAGCAGTACTTGTACTTGAGTAATACTGTATACAGTATTGTAGAGTGTAACAGTACTCTTAAGTGAGTAAAAGTTGTGCTTCCTCTTCCCACTGTGAGTCTAAAGTGACAAAAGTTTTATGTAACAATATGAAATGATTTGAGCATTTGTGTTTCTTGCAGAGCTCCTTCAGATCTGATTTAGTTTCGTTTTTGAGTCTGTCTGAAAATACCAGATTTTATACATCCTTTTATGTTTTGTCCTTCAAATTACTTTCACTTCAAATAGACTGCATCCAGATAGTTATTCTCACATCTGTAGTAGTTTGCCCAATTCCTGGATCACTAGTTTGCACTTCTACTTGAGTAATACTATTTAAAAGTAACAGTACTATTACAAGAGTAAAATTTTTTGTCTACTCTACCCTCCTCTGTGGATAACTGCGCATGTTCAGACATTCAGGGAAATGATCACTTACATATTGACATGTGCAAAATAAATGTTGTAGCAAACCCAAAAGCCTTTCTGAGCCTAGCCTCACTGGACTTAATGCTACAAGCTAATATATTATTTTGTATCATTTAAGGTCATAAATATGTATAATAACTTACAGACAGTTCAGAAACATAATAAAAAAAAAAAAAAGAAAGAAAGAACTTTCAGGTGGAATCTTGCTCCTCTGTCAGAGCAGTAGAGGAAAAACATCATTTAAAGAGAGGCTATTACACTTATATGGGGTATTAACTGTAGCACAACATATTTACATATGTTATCTTTAATCGTGTTGAAAATAGTATATTCACTGAAAATAAAGTATCTAATGTACTGTATGTTCATGAAAACTGGCTGTGAGGGAAGCACGGATGATGTACAAGGCTTCACCCACAAGCCTACAAGAAACATGGTCTCGTACTGCTAACCGTAAAGAGGGCCAGGAGAGATCACTAGATTACTCACATGGATGCCTGGATGACATCTGAAATGTCTTCAGACATGTTTTTAATGAGGGAATGTTATACCATGATAGAAAGCTCCAAAAAGTCCATGTTGCATAATAGCCCCTCCTTAAATTCAAATAACAGTCAAATACTGTCAATACAAAATAAAGACATAAGACTTAGGATGTTTTGGTCTCTAAAGGAATGAATGTGCGCTACAGTAAAGAGCGTCGCTAACTCCCTCCTCTCTCTCTTCCTCTTCATCAGTTTATACAGGCATCAGGGTGGGGCCAGACTGACTCCTGATTGTTTGGTGTCAGACAGCTGAGCCCAGTGATTGGACAGCCTGGGGCGTGGGTGGGCCCGGGCAGGGTCAGACTAGGGATGGGCTAGTATGGATTTTTTTTTTTTTTTTTTTATCGATACTGATATCCAATATTTGTCCTGCTGCTGTGGGTGATAACTAATATTCGCAGACACTGATATTTTAAAATCCATAGCAAATCCAACAACTCTATGTTCAGTTAAATTAAAATCACAAATAAACTTGCTTTTGTAAAAATCATAACAATGTATTTAGCTGGTTTAAAATACTGTGACACTTGTGACACGCTTTTCTGTTTCCATTTGGACTCATTTGTAAAAAATGCACACAGAGAATGGGGCGGCAGGAAAAAAATATCAGCACTGAATATCGGTATCGAGGACTGTTAGCGGTGGATACCAATAGTGGTACTGATATAGTGCCCATCCCTAGTAGAGAGGTCAGTACTCGGTCTCGGTCAGGTGCACCAGTTCGTTGACCACGTCCAGCAGGTTGTAGGTGTGTTTGAGGAGCAGCTGCTGGTTCAGAGCACGATCCCTGAAGCCCATCTCCTGCAGCACGGACAGCATGGCGTCCTGACAGGAGCCGTCCACCGGGGGCTGTACACACACACACATGCATGCACATGTACACACATGCACCATGCATGGGCACGAACAAATACATACATACACATACATCAGACATCCATACACACAAACATATGCACACACGCATGCACGCACACAAATACACACACACAGGCAGGAGGAACAGAACAACACGGTTATCCACACAGAACTACTGCTGGTACAAAGGTCTGTTCTTGTTTGTCGGCAAATGAACTCAAGTGATTTTGACTCTGGTATTAAAAGTAAAGGCACTGTCCTACATCTGAAATGTCAAGGCCTTCAGTATAAACTAGGCTAAAAGAAACAATAAAAAGTAATTGATTTGTTCATGTCCTGGAGGAGGGAGCCCCAAACCCCCCTCTGTTTGAAACTACATTACAAAATCAGTTCAGAAATCGATCTGAATCAGTCTAGGGACATGGACTGATTCCTACAAATGACCCAAAATGAGATGGGGGCAGAGGGATGCCATCAGAACTCTTGCCTAAGGCATCAGAAGAGCTAGAGGGTCCTTCACTCACTTGTCTCCATGGTGATATTACGGCTTTGCCAAGAACCCACTGTATGGGATTATGACCAATGTATCTATCTTTATGAAGACAAGTGGTGATGTCATCAGGCCATGAAGTTATAGACAATTCCGTTCACAATAAGAATGTATTTTAGGTGTTTTTGAAAGAAACCCTTACAAAGTTACACAGTGCACCTTTAATGTTTCTGCAGGTGCTGTCTATGGAATTCCACTACATTTACAGACAAGTATCCATCCATCTAATAATACACTGGTGATAAATACATGGTTCCTGTTTCTGCTGAGGGTGCAGTGGAGCAGACTGACCTGAGGGGGGCCCTGTCCGGTGAACAGTGCCTTGTACGCAGAAGCCGCCACAGACAGCGCTCCTTTGACCAGTCCACTGGTCAGCCCCGCGTGGCTGGAAGAGGAGGTGTAATGGCAACACATGTTTTGTTAATAGTTGTGAGTTGCCTGTTCCAATGGTGAAATTCAGTTGAGTAAACCTACAACTCCTCTGATCTGAATCATCACTACCTAAAAACTTTTGTTTGTGTCCTCTATCTGCACGTTAAAACACTGATAATCCAGGTTTACTTGTGATTGTGGTATTTTTAAATAAAATTCTTCAGCTAGAACATACCCTCCCTTTAATAAACATTAGTATTTTCTGTTTAACACAGAACAACAGTAAGAGTGCGAGATGAGTCTCAGATACCTGGGATTGTCTGAAGGCTCCTGCTCCGGCTCTGCAGGAGGTTCTCCTCCATCAGCCTGGTCCTGCTCAGAGTTAGAGTCTGTGGAGGAAAAAACATGGGTCAGACCTTACCTGTCCAGCCAAGATCACATGTTTTGATAAAACTTCAAAAAGACGAGTGGGTCTGGAACCCTATCCTGGCTCCTGGATTTCAGAGGGTGTGATAGACAGGCAGATTAACCAATCAGAGAGACATGAGTAGCAGGTGTGTCTAAGACCATTCGTTAGGACGGACATGCTCTATGATCCCATTACAAACCCTTCTGAACTCAAACACAATGTAGACGCAGAGAATCAGAGAGGGTTAGAGAGAGTCAGAGAGAGTCAGAGAGGGTCCGAGAGAGAGTCAGAGAGAGTCAAGAGGGTCAGAGAGAGTCAGAGAGGGTCCGAGAGAGAGTCAGAGAGAGTCAAGAGGGTCAGAGAGAGTCAGAGAGGGTCCGAGAGAGAGTCAGAGAGAGTCAGAGAGGGTCAGAGAGGGTCAGAGAGAGTCAGAGCTGTCTGGGAGTACTGGTAGAATGATATGATCTGTACCCTGGGGAGTGTCCGGTGCGTCCCCATCTGCAGCAGTGCTCTGAGGCTCAGTGGCACCAGGGCTCCCTAACCTGGAGGGCACAATATAACACAATTTACACATTACACATTACAAAAACATCACAATAATATGATGCACAATTAACCACAATCAAAACTAGAACAAAAATACATCTGAGGCAATCTTTAAACTGCAAATTGCAAAGTTGCAGTTATTTCTATAAAAGAGTGTAGTGGCATCCTTGCAGGGTTAAAGTGACCGGAGCGGAGGTGATGCTGACCTGTGAGCCATAGGAGGTGCCACCACCTCTGGAGTCAGAGGCTCCTGGTCCAGAGTCTGGGAGGTGCACAGCATGTCGTTAGCACTGCTGGGGGAGGAGCCTCTTTCGGGGGCCTCGCACACTTTCTCAGAGGGACCAGAGGGGTCAGCAGAGGGGTCAACAGACTGGTCAGCGGAGGGGTCAGCAGAGGGGTCAACAGAGGGGTCAGTGGAGGTTCTAGCAGGAACATCTCCAGGCTGTGACAGTGCAGAGCTACAGAACACACACATGAACATAAATCCCCCTGGAGGCTGCTGAGATGCCCAAGCTTCAGGCCAGAGAGGAGGGAGGCTTTTGTCCTGAGGGATGTTACTCCCATCAAACTGCCCCGACACTGGATCTGATCACTGTACCTGTTGAGCTGCACTGACACTCTTGTCTGAGCTTTTCTGTTATTCTTGTATTACTGCTCAATGGGCTTAAAGTGCCCCTCGTGGACAGACAAAGTGCTTTTGACAGAGATGATAGAGACGACTCAGAAGAAGACTACAGAGTTATACACAGCTCACCTGTACATGGAGTCCCCCAGGGGTCGACTAGTGTCGAAACAGTCGGGCAGGATAATGATGTAGTCCTCTGAAGAGGTGGAGGAGGAGCGGCTCCGAGGCCTGTCGCTGTGCTGGGTCCCCTGTGTGGGCCCCACACACAGGCTCTTCATAGTGCACTGGCCCCCCTCATCTGTGACATCACACATCAGGGGGCACATGTTAGATTTGGTTAAGTCTATGACATCATTTAGTCTGCCTCATACCTGCAGCTGTGGCCGGGGCCAGAAGTTGTGTGGGGACAGAACGGGGCCCCTGTGCAGTGCAGGGGCCTACAGTAGGAGCGGGGGCCACAGGCAGAGCCTGCAAAGGGCCGGGAGGTTTAGACGGACTGGTCCCCGGGCTCTTCAGACTCTTCACAGCTGACGAGGAGGGCCCTGTGTGGGCTGAGGGATGCACAGGGACAGAGAAGACAAGAGTCAAACCAAAGGGGTGAATCCAGCAGACCACAGACTATTGTGCACACTCACCACTGTCTTTGGCCCCTGAGGCCCTTGCGTCTCCTGCAGCTCCTGGGCAGGGCTCTGGGACAGGCCGGGCTTCAGGGGCCTCCTCCAGGGTCATGGAGCAAATGACTGTTTCACAGACAAACTGAGAACTGCTGAGGTCCTCCTGGCCCTCCTCCTGTGCTGGAACCCCCGAAGGCCCTGGAGCTGGGGCCCCTGAGGCTGCTGCATGTGTCATGTCTGAGGGCCACAGAGTAAGGGACCAGTTAGTAAGACAACTGTACAGAGCCTAGTCCCCTCTTCTGTGTGAAGACTTAGTGCATAGAAGAGAACATAAATATGTGTGTGTCTGCTCTGTAGAGCAAAGAAAGAGGATACCTTCATTACTTCAACTGTTTACAGCACTTACACTCACTCTCCCTGTGATTCAAACACTTACTGCTCATTTGTTCAAAGCACTGATAGCATTTTGTTTAGAAGTGAGTGTGTTTACCCATGATGCTGTTGATGACCTCGGTCTCTTCCTGGATCAGGCCCAGAATAGGGCTGCCTTTGTCCTGCAGGGGGCAGTCTGGAGGCAGAGGAGAGATTAGGTCTGAACCACACCGCACTTTGTGAGCGCTTGCAGTGACTCTGGGAAGGCCATATCAATGGAGCAACAACATCACGGGAAATGGGCCAAAAATGTGATGCTTGTTATGATCTGACTAAACAAAAACAGAGCTACAGCGCAATGGACAAGAGTTTGATATAGGACACTGAACTTTTCTGATCTGAGGAGCAAGAGGAAAGACATGACTCCCCTTCTCTCCTGTTTGCTCCCCCTCCTCTCCCGGTCACTTCGTGGGTAGAGAGGAGGCTGCTGCAGAGTGTGGAGCCTGGTTAATGGTCAAGATGCCTGACCCCTTGCTGATGAGCGGTAGTACATGTGGATCTTAAGTTCTGCTGTGGGTAAAAGTAAAGCTGCAACGGAACTCTTCACATGTACCTAACAAGAACAATAAAATCACCACACGCGACTATAAAAGTCACTTTTTCAACTATATCAGAGAGACAGGTGTGTGAGGCACGTGCTGAAATTTTTTGACTGTTTCTTTAGATGTTCTTGGAGGAAGAGCTAAAATAATCTTAACAGCTGCTCCTGACCAGGTTTGTTTTCTGAGGCTTGTTACTCAGCGTCACCTCTGGTCAGTCACTTTGGTGGAACAGAACTGAGGCTTTGATAAGCCTGGATTGCCCAAACAAGCCAGGCTTTCACTTTAGCTCCCTTCATGGAATAGTGGATTTACAAATCAATATTCACAATTACTAGCCAATTAGCCAATTAATTAGGTCATGATTTAATAACTATTAGATTGCCATAGCATTTGCATATGAAGTGCTTTAATAAAATATACTGTTGTCCAAATCTGTTTGGTTCTTAAAAAACATATCATCTACAATGCAATTATGACATGTTTCGCCATATCATGAAATGATCGTATGGTGAGCCATGTATCATATCGTACCGAATCGTGAAGGAAGCTGTAATTTCCAGCCCTACTTCTGAGGAAGGCAGCAGAGTACAGTCAAAAGGAGTCCAGGAACAAAAATATAGGTCTTTGAATGAGCATTTAGATTGACACTGAGTGACACTGAGTGCCGAGCCTACTGTGTCCAAATCATTTCCTATGTGGATCAATAAAATTTGTGAATAAAGTGTATGTCTGCTCCTGTAGTTCCCCTCACTCACCTGCTGAGGAGCTGTTGGGGACACTCTCCAGTTCCTGGACAATGTTGATGTCGAGCAGCTCAAAGGACAACAGGTCCTACAACAAACACATGTCACTGCCTCATGTGTCCAGCAGAGGGCGCAAGGGGCCACTAGACACATGAAAATGTGCAATAAATCTGGATAAGCAGTGTAATGGTCCAGTCTGAGTACTTTATTTTAAATATTTAGAATGCTCTCACATTGGGCGATGTGTTCTTATTTTTTCACTTATACCCTGCAGTTTGAATTAAAATACAACTACCTGAAGATATCAAGATACAGAATGATTGATTGTCGTGTTACTTCGTGTCTGTGTGCTAGCCGTAGATGTATAAAGAAGTGGACTACATGAGTGTGACGTCAGCCACAGCGTTCAGCTCCACTCACATGAAACTCACAATGTTAACAGGTACAGGGGCAAATTTAGAACCAGGCTCCATATCAGGAATAGGACTTTTTTTAAATGACAAAATAGCAAAATAAAAACCCCAGATCATGTAGAGGGGATTGTACAACAGCAGCAGTTAAAGAGAGAGGTTCCAGTTTATTTCAATGTAAGTCAAGGGGAGCCGAGGTCAGAAGGAGCCAGAAGTGCTCACTTTCTATTTAAAAGGTGGTGGCTAGTGCGTTACCTATGTCCATTCATATATACAGGCTATGGTGCTGACAGCCATGGGTGAGGTGAGTACCTGAGCTGTGAGCAGGTCCACTGACGGGATGCAGTACTCCTCTTGGTCCACCGGCAACAGAGGGGGCGCTACAGAGGCACACAGCTTCTCCTTGTGGACAGGGTTCCTGCCCTGCACACACATGACACGTTTACAATCTCAGGCATAAGGCAGGATTTAAAGGTACACTATGGAACTTTACTGGTGGAGGGTGTTTGTCTCCATAAACCAGGTCAAAAATCATGTCTTGCATCTTTTTACTGTTATGTTTAGTGTTAAAATAGATTGTTATTGTTGTTGAATGTTATGATATGACATGAGCACAGCAAAGTAGGATGAGGCCACCTCACCTGCTTGTCTCCATGGAGATGTTATTGCTTTCTTTGCCTGCAGTGTGCCACAGTTTGGCATTACACATTAAACATATTTACATTTATTCAAATACAGGTGTTTATATTGCAAAAATAACTTGAAAAACACGCATTCTAACAGTGACCACAGTCATCTCTCCGCAGATCTGACCTGTAACTTAACCTGGTAAAGTCAACTGCTTGTCTCCATAGAGATTTAAAAAAAAAGTTGCCATCCTGTGGAACATTCCACGAAAAACAATAAGTTCTCCATGGAGACAAGCAGGTAGGTAAAAATCTTTGTCTCCTCTGACACAACGTCTGAGCTCACCTGTGGGGTGACACACGGGGACACCAGGATCCCATCGGCCATGACAGGGGCGGGGGCCAGGGGGTCCACCACTATGCTGCACCACACCCGGGGCCCAAACTGCTCCCCTGCATGAGCCAGGCGCCAGTGCGATGTGTACGAGCCCTCCACAGGGGGCGCACACAGGGCCACGCTACCCCCACCTACAGGTGACAGGGAGTGAGCGCAGGTCAACACAGGCCACCTCAGGTCAACACAACACACACAACTCTGGACTCTTAAAGAGAATGTTTTTTTCAGAAATAAACATACAGTGTCATATTATTAACCTGTTGGTGTTTGCAACACCTAAGAGAGATATGATTATATGCTTGGTATGGTACATAAATGATACATTTGTGAAATATTATAAAATAGTTTTTTTTCTTACAGTCTTACAGGTGTTGTTGAATATGGAACTAGTTAGATTATGTAGGCCTACCTGTCCAGGCTGAAGGAAGGGTACAGAGACCTCTCTCCAGCGCTCCCCTGAGCCCACTGCCAGGTTCCCCCACATGAACTTCAACTGCAACACACACACACACACACACACACACACAGTACTGAGTCGAGACCAGAGGCCAGACCAAAGGCCAATCCAGAGACCAGACCAGAGGCCAGACCAGAGACCAGACTACTCTGACCGCAGTCCGTACCTTGGTGTCTTGAGTCCAGCCAACACTCCCGGTGTTCCTCATCTTCCAGTACTTGATGAACTTGGTGCCTGGTCGGAGACGGGTCCCATCAGGCAGGTTCTCGTCCAGAAAGGTGGCAGTCATCGCAGGGACCGCCAGGGGACAGGGGCGCTTTGGACGTCTGCAACACCAAGATACAAAGTTCTTCTTATATCAATTTATACTATATAATGAGTGTAGTACCGGATTTAGAGTTGTGTAGGACTTACTGTTGAGTATGACTTACTGTCGTGTAGGACTTACGTGGTGTAGGATTACTGTCGTGTAGGACTTACTGTCGTGTAGGATTTATGTCGAGTAGAACTTACTGTTGTGTAAAACTTACTATCGAGTAGGACTTACTGTCGCGTAAGATTACTGTCGTGTAGGACTTACTGTTGTGTAGGACTTACTCGGGGCTGGTGTGCTGAGTAGCACGGGGCTGCAGCAGGACAGGGGAGGAGCATCCTTCTCGGTGGGTGGAGCTCCACTGTATGCCCCGCCTCTCCATCCTCAGCTGTTTGCGGATCTCTTTGACCTCAGCTTTGAGCAGGCGCTTTTCTGCTTTGAGCCGCTGCTTCTCTGCTTTGCGAAAACTTCGGTCTCCACGGCGATAAAACCTAAACACAGGACGGGTCACATACAAGCTGTGTGCGGCGCAGGGGCTCAGAGGGCTCAGAAGATGGCAGTACTGTACCGGCTGTGGTCCGGTGCAGGAGAGCCGTGCTCGGGGATGGACAGAGGCGTGCGCGCCCTCACCAGGTTGTGGCTGGGGTCATGGGAGAAGCTGCAGGGCTCACACAGAGTGCAGGCAGTGCACACACTGAGCACACACACAGGAAGTCAAAGAGTGAACACTCTGTATAAGACTAACACCCCCACACATCCTCACCTGCACTGGTACCCTCCCCCAGTGGTCTGCCCCCTGCAGGCCGAGCAGGGCGGTGTGGAGGAGGTGGGGGCTCCGGGCAGAGCAGAAGAAGACACCTCAGGGACCAGAGGAGGCTCAGCCGCTCCCACAGCCTCCCCACGCCCAGAGGACGCCGCCCCTCCCACTGTAGCTCCGCCCACTGGTTTATGGATGCAACATTGTCCAGAGAACTCTCTGCAGATCTTCTCCACAGCCTCACGCACAACCTGGTCCTTGAACTGCACAGTAAGAAGTAGCTCTGATTAGCTCCCTCATCTGTCATTTCAAGTCACATTTTCACACTAAGAAATCCACTGTGCAGACAGTAGGAGGCGTTGCTGTCTGACCTTCTCCATGTAGGATGTGAACCAGGCTGGAGGAGTCTTATCTTCTTCTTTAGTGCCCTTCATCTCCTTCAAGATCATCTGCTCAACACAAACACCATCAGAACCTTCTCTTGGTTAAGGCCTTCTGCAGACAGCTTTCACTCACTAATAACACTCCACACTTGGTGGTGATTGCATGCTTGTAGCCACAGCTGCATTGGAGCAGACTGATGGAAGTGAGGCTGCCAAGTTGCGTCACTGGCCACACTGGGAACCACCAACACAAACTACATACATAATTGGCAATGTAAATGAAGTGTCACTGTTACTCCCACTATCAGTTTGTGTAATCCTTCATTCGTCCAGGTATGTTACATAGCAAAAGAAGTTTTTATTCTGTCTTCAATCAAAAACTTTTGTTCAGTTTTCAGAATTACATTTTCTTTTGCTATCTCATGCAACTAACTACTAACCAGGCTTCCCATCAGGAATCAGGGTTAGCTCAGATACAGGTTGTAACTACAGAAATGTGCCCTGTCCAACCACAGTGAAACACTACAGGTTCACATCACATGGGCTTGTTTGTGTTGTGGTTGATGGGTGTGCCCTCACCATGCCCTGGTCGGGGACGGCGGCCTGGACCTTGCGGCTGACCACCTGTGCCAGGGCAGGGCAGGGTTGCGGGGGTCTGAAGCCTCTCTTGGGTTCGGTGGTGCTGGCTTTGGCCGTGCCCATGCGCGTCGGCTGTGCTCGCACCTCGTACACGTTGATCTGCAGACGGTTTCCCTGTTTGGCTGCGCTCTAGAACAATACACACAGAGGGACAGGTGTGTATTATGGGCACTGTAGGCTTTGTGGGAGCCTCAGAGTGACACATGTGAGAGGCTCCATTAGTGGGATGTATCGCAATACTTCATTGTGCAATTCTCGTATCAATTCAAAATGTGTCCAAACAGAGTCATTTTCATGGAAAATTCCATTTACTCTGTTGATTTAAAAATGAAATGCATTGTATTCATCTAATGTTCTGGTGAAGGTGTACTCAACCATTATCTTATATGTAATTATTGATTTGTTTTAGTATCGGGAGATATGGTGATATACTGAATGCACAGCCCTAGTATCCATGCCATAAGCTCTCACAAGCGTCGGATTTGGTTAAAAAAAAATATATATATAAATAGAATAGAATACTTTTGAAGGTTTTCAATACAAAGACAACTGTAAGCTACATTTTCAGATCTTGTAGTGTTGAAAATAGCCTTACCTTCAGCGCCTCTTCATAATCCACTGGAATGAAAACACAAATCATATTTTAATAAATAGAATACCATGAAATGAAAAAATAAATAATTGGTATTGGTAAATGGAGTAACTAACTCAAAAATACTATGTAATATTCATTACTGATTTGTGCATGTAGTTTATATTACTATTATATGTAAACTCTCATGACCAAACCACCCCCATGCAGGCGACCACTTTGTAATGAATATGGGTGGGTTTAGGGCTGAAACAAGTTCATCCATTCAACACAACTATTGAGTCCAAAATATAACATGGTTTTACAGGTTTTACGACTAAGAGCAAAGTAACTGTAGTAGTAGTAGTAGTAGTAGTAGTAGTAGTAGTAGTAGTGGTAAATTTTAACCAAGTTGCTTCTATATTACATTGTGTTTTACAGAGGCTGCATTAAAGGTGTACTACAGAACTTTTCCAGCAGAGGGGTACGCCAGCCAGTTGTCTCCATGTTTCTTTCTCATTCATCCTCTGAAGTTATATTTGGAGTGATTTGTGCATGTTTGAGTCATCTTTAATTGTTTATATTCAAGACACTATTTTGCTGATCTACCCCCGTTTTCACCACCACTGGCACACAGAGGGAGTTGTTGGAATGTGATGAGGTGTGTATGCATACCTTGGTTGCTGATCATCTCCTGGTAAAGAGAGATTTTACAAGACCATCAGAACTATATTTTTACAGGAATTACTCTAAAAATGATGATGAAAATTGAAAAGATAGTTCTAACCTCTTCATTCTCCTCATCATAGTAGGTGAGCTGCAGACTGCACAGGCCAAAGGAACGTTTCATCTGGAACAGACATCACAAAAACATGATTTAAAACATATCAACACCAATATTACTCATTTATTAATCTGGAGAATTACTATAATCAAATTAGCACTGTAATCTGAATGGTCGTAATTAGCTCCATCTGACCCTCTTCTCTGCTCCTCTGACCCTCTTCTCTGCATCCTCTGCTCCATCTGACCCTAGTTTACAAGACAAGTCAGAATTCTATGGTGGAATTTGCTGATTGCAGATTTGTTGACATGATTTTTGGTTCATATCTCTGTAATTCCTGGTCCTATCCACATGAACCAAAAACTGGCACAAAGTTCACAATTCAACTAAGGCAAAATGATGTTTTTTCCAGTGTAGATAATATCTTATAAGTAGGTCACAATACAGCAGAAGAATAATAGGCCTAATAAAAACAGAAGTAGCCTAGTAGCCTATAAGCCCTTGGCGCTATCCAAGACTTTAACAACATCCATTCCAACCCTAAAACGTGACCACAACGTATGGCGCAAACGTGCAAAGAAGAAACCATCGACGGATAAAAATAATTCATGATGTTGTTTGCATGACGACAGCTCATTGTGATAATCAGAGATGTCCACTTAATCCTTAGACGAGGCCAGAGCAGACGAGGTTAGCCTGTCTGCGCGTCAGGAGGTACATCCAGAGCCACCCTCCATCTGGACCTCCTCTAAGCCGAGACAGAAGCACCTCCGCCCGCCGTGGCCTGCTCCGCTGCTCACCATGGCCTCCAGGGACTCCCAGCTCTTGGTCTCGGAGCCGGACAGCAGGAAGCTCTTGGAGTTGCCTCGGAAATTGACCTTGAGGCTGATGTAGAGCTCCATGGCCGCGGCTCGGGCTCCAGGCGCCTACTCCACAGCCGACAGATGCACACGCTCGGGTTAAGCTCCGTGATGCAGGCCGCTGTCACCGCGCGGAGCTACGGGAGCTACAGGATCATAGTACATGTACGGGAGTTACGGGACTGACGCTGTGTTTACATCAGCAGCACGGAGCCCCGCCCACCTGCGTCACCTGACCGGAACACAACAACTAGAAAATACATTCAAAATACAACTTAGCTTAGCACGCAGGCTAATATATTTATTTTTACTCTGGTAGAATAAAATCGTCTAATGAAGGCAAAAAATAATAAGGTTAAAATCGAAATGTTTCAAATAAATAAATAAATAAATAAATAGATAAATAAATAATGATGATACCGACATAATTTTTATCCTGGGCTCATTATTTAAATTGTATCTATAAATATGTATATAATAAAATAATAGATACATAATTGTATGCATTTATATATTTAATTTAATTTGTGAATAAGTCACCTATGATAAAATGCTTTTGTTTTGTTTTTAACTTTGGTTGTGTTTATTGCAATGAAAAACTTTATATTAAATCAAGGTTGTCCAAACTTTTTTCATCAAGGGCCACATTTCTAAACACAGATGAAGCAGAGGACTGATCGAGGGCCGTATGCCGGTGCTCAGTACAGTGAGTAATTGAAATTTGTGCATGTTTAACACGTTAGAATGCTCCATCCCTACTAGCATCAGGATCCGCAGCGGATCCGCTTTCGGTCCGCCAAATCCGCCCCACAGTCCGTCCGCTTTGCGGATCCGCTGCGTATTTGTTCCGTATTCGCTTTCTGACTGTTGCTAACCCTAACCCTTGGATGGCCTGCTGTTACAGAGAGAATCTGCGGTTAAATCATCTTAGATCCGCACTGTGAACGCACTTTTAACACAACACTTTGTTTTTGACACAATGATTTGTACTATCAATGCGCGGATCCGCGGCTAAACCGGTTCGGATTCGCTGCGCGGACGCGCCACTGACTCATGAGTCGTTATCGGGACCTGAGTGGAAAGAAGCAGCATCCACCTGTTGTCCGCGGATTTAACTGTAAGTAATAGTTTAAAAGTTAATTGTATTAGTCATCATTAATGTACATAACGTTAACGTTATATTGTGGTGTCTGTACATCTGTGACTGTGTGTGTTTTATCAGTTTTGACGAGTGCAATAGGAAAGTTAGCGACAGTAGCAGCTAACGTGATGAAGACGATGTGAGGTCAGGAGTCAGGATAACTCCATCTCTTGAGGTAGATCCCAGTCTAAATATTATTTTTATATAACGCTACTTATATTCTTGTATATTTTTACGATCACAGAATTGTAATTCTGCTCCGAGATCATTGGTCGTGTCTAACGGGCTCGGTTCTGACTGGACGCCGCTCTCGGCGCTCTCCCTTCGGCTGTGGAGCGACGGTGACACCGGTGTCTGATCTGATTGTGTTTTTAATCAGAGATAATTATTATTTGTGTAGACTAGAGTGTTGACTGTTGAGTTGAGACTAAAGTGCAGTCATGTCAGTGCCTTAATACAATAATTTAACGCAACGTGCCATAATAGAATAACGTAACGTAATAAAAAGCACAACTTTTAACAACAGCTAACGTTAGATAACAAACCAAAACTTATGTTGTTTTTCCCCAGTTGACATCAGGAGCCCCTGTCCTTCTGCTGAATGTCCCCATCAGGAGCCCGGCACGCTGATCAGAAGTAAGTACTTTTAATGATTTCTGTGACAGTGAGGATTTAGTTTAGATCTGACTTTGTCTCTAACTTTGTTATGGGACTTGAGACGGTGCTTCAGGCTTTCAGTGAGAGATGTTGACATGAACACTAATGTGTCACATCTAAATTACACTGATATTGACTATGAACACCATCATAAATTGATTATTATATTTTAAATGTTGTGGTAAAAGTAAATGTAGTAGAGTATTGTGTATTAACAGCAGTGAAATACATCTCATGTTCATACTCAGGCTTATACTAAAACAAAAGAGTTCAGTTTTACTGCGCTAAAGTATTTCCTATGAGTTAAATAATGTTTTTCATCTCTGTTTCAGAATATACTATGGTTAATAAGAAGATGGACATAACAGCATGATAAAGACCCTCTGGAGGTAAATACTGCACTTGTATTAAACACTGTGGCCTGAAATGATCCAAAGTGATATTTGTGTTTCTCTTATTTGATGTTTTACAGAATTCCCTCTGCTGGGCCAAGTTCCAAAAATGTAGAGACAGACCCTGTGTAAGTTTACTGTATTATCCTACTTTTATTAACTTTCATAACTAATGCACATTATAATCACACCTGTTGTTGTGCATATTGTTTCTTTCAGAACATGCTGTGGTGGAGTTTAAAGACTGACCCTCCGTAAGTGCATAGATTTCTCCAATCAAGTGTTTACCTTTCATATTCAAATCACACAGCCACTGTCATGACTTACAATGTTCTTCACAAACCTGAACTCTAACTCCTTACAAGAATAAGAGGTGTAATGGGGTGTTTAATACACACTGGTGTCATTTCAGATGCTGTGAGAAAGGGGAAGCCCAGTCCTGGACACTGACAGACTGGATCTTCACCAGTAGGACTGAAGAGGAGCCAGACTCACTGCACCTCTGCCTCAAAACCTTTGCCTCAGACTGAAGCTAAAGACAGTGGCTCTGAAGCTCCCACACTGCACACTCTATAAGAACAACCATCCGTCTAATTGTACTGTGGTGGTAAACACAAGTTAAGTTTTAGTTTTAAACAGTACGGTATGGCTACACTCTGTCTCATCTGTCCAGGCTTTTACTCATATAGCTTATATTTGTTTTTTGCCATTTAAAAAAAAAAAAAAAACTTTGCTTAACTTGAACTATTTTTAGTAAAAACTGTAAATTGTCATTTTCATATTAAGAATGAAGCATTGGTTAACTCAAAGGGTATATAAGTCCTATAACATTAATAATAATTATTCATGTCCTAAGATTTCTAATTAATGATTTAAATAAATATTGTTTACAATGTAAAAAAAAAAAAGTTTCTTTTTTTCTTAACTAATGAGATTTAGTGATAGGATATCACTGATCCAACTTTGAAATTGTTTAAGTTTATGTTTTTAAATTTAAGCCTTTATATCCTAGTTTTAATACTTGCTGTAAAAGGTTTATGTACAGTTACAATGCAAATGCTGCTGGTGTGTATTTAGGTCAGTAGGAAGTGGATCAGTATTAAATCTGAAGCATATTTAGGCTCCTAACGACACAATAAACAGATCCGCGGCAGATCCGCGGCAGATAACCCGGTTCTGAAAGCGGATCCAAAACGGGTCCTGGGCGGATCCGCGAGATACGCAGCGGATCAGCCGCGCCTCCGCCGCGGATCCGGGCTTATTTTGACGGATCCGCGGCGGAGGCGCGACTGATCCGCTGCGTATCCGCGATGTGCAAGTGAACTCCGATGCGGATCCGTTCTGCGGATCCGCCGCGAATCTCCGGGCGGATCCGCCGCGGATATTTTTTGCTATGTGGGATCTTTATTAATGCTAAGATCCTTAAGACCACACACTAAATATTAAATATTAGCTTTATCAAGGTAGATTTTCAAAAAACTTGCAGTAAAAAGAACATTTTTAATTGATGCAAGGTAATTGGGCCAATTCACTTGGCCCAAATTGGCCTGAGGGCCAAGAAAAATTTGTCTGAGGGCCACATTTGGCACACAGGCCAGAGTTTGGACATGCCTGCCCTAGGTCATTGTTTCCAAAAGATTGGGTCAGGTGTTTTTTTTTATAATCAGTTACACTGTTTACTGTTACTAAAAACAAAACAAAAAATATACAAAAATAATACTAATTGTTCAGAGAGGCACAATCACTCAGTCAAAAATAAAATATCCTCATTAATGTTCAAAAATGGTCAAATCCACCTTTATTTTGTGATTTACGAATAATGTCTATTGACTTGGGTTGCAAAGATTTGTGACTTAAAATATGGGTCCCCAGAAAAAAAAGTTTGGGAAACACTGCTCTAAATGACCTTGCATCTCCACAGACCTACTCTTTTGGCCTACAGGAAGACTGCCTCCTGCTTCTAATTCCATGGAAATGTTGTTCATTTGATTGTACTATTCCACAGTATGGCATAAAACCTGTATTTATCCATGGAGAATGTTTCGATGTGTGGTTTTAACTTATTGCCATGAATCATGCAAGTGTACCTTTATTGTACTGCTCTGTATTGTCTTTTATTGTACCTTTGAAAAGTAGTCTGCTGTAAATATTGATTTTAAAATGTAAGAACCCAGGGGCCAGCTGTAACAGACAGAGACTTTGTTAAAATTGTCTTGTAAAGTTAGGCCTAAATAATCCTCTTTGAAGAAAATTGCTCGTGTCCATCCTGAAGGTGGCAGTATAGGCCCATATACTCCATTACGCACGTGACGCAGCGCAGAAGAACTGGCATAACCTCCATTCAAAGAGCTGTCAAAACCAAAACAAGCCGGATTATCCTCCATTTCATCTTAGTCATTCAGCATTTTTATAAGATACGGAACCACAATACGGATAAAGGAGACACCGAGAAACACAGACCGACCATCTAGTCCTGCACCCCGGACTTTGCACCATGGTTTTGAGATACTTGTGCGGTACACTCCGTTCCAGTTTGCGCGGCTCCAGTGTGTGTTGCGCCTGAGAGGACAGAGACCCCGGGAATGACCGATAGTACGGAAGAGTGTCAGAAGGAATGCGCATTTATTGAGAAACTGTAGCTGCTTTTTGTCATGGTTTTGTGTTTTTTGGTTTCAGAGCAGAAGCGGAGAGGACACTGGGGGCACCATGGAGCTCGGACAACGTAGCTCACAGACTATCCAGCCCCCTCAGAGTGACCTGCTGCCCCGCTCTGACCAGCTCCTCAGTGCCACGGAGGACCAGGAGATGAGCGTGAGTACTGCTGCTCGGTGACGCTTGTAGTGTGCACTTTCTTCAACATTATATAGTTTGCGTTCACGTTGAACTCATAACCTAAGATTCTGTTGTGGGTTTTGCTGTCTAACTGTGAGACTGCACATTTGTTGACCTGGTGTATGGTTCATATATCTCTGTAATTACTGGGCCTACGCACATGAAACACTGGCACAAAATTCAGCGTTTTAGAAATAAACTGAAGTCAAATAATTTTCACAATGGCTTCAGAAAGTGGTGCCATTATTCAAAAACGTGAGTATTTCAGGTGAAAGGACTTTAAGCCATAAGATTACCAGTAATGTGATAGGTTTGTGGAGCTGATCCCAAACTCATCATGAGAAGGAGAAACATCCGTGGATCAGAACTTTCTTTCAAAAACAGTGAATCTCCCATAGAGTTTTGTAGACCCTTCCATCTGAAACTATAGCATCATCAAATTCTATAAAGTGAATGTAACATAACTGATACTTTGCAGTGACGTCATGCTGGGGGTATACTGCATGTATGTCTATAGAGGAATGTTCAGCATGGAGACTCAATGCACACATTACCAAACACTGCCAAAAAAGGTTCCAAGAAAGCTGAAAACTGGATTTAAGAAGCACATTTTTAGGATCAGTGGTCATTCCGAGCATTCATGGTCCTGTTTTGGAGTTTGATTTTCAACAAAAAGGTGAGAGTGACTCACTGAAAAACTGCTAGTCACTGTAATGTCTATACTGGATGCCCGACCTATTACGCAGTACCACCTAAGAAAAGAACTGGCTGAACTTTTTCTGTAGCACCAGATTTAAACTAGGTCTGTATTACCTTGCCAGGTCTAAACTAGGACCAAACCATCTTGTCTAAAATAGAACTACTACTGCTACAATAGCTTTATAAACAGGGACTCATCTAAAGGAGGACAGGAATGTGGATAAATTGTTGTCAAAACTAGTACTGTAGTACTGTAGTACACATATATGTACTACAGCTTCAGAATCACAGGTCTGTTGTTTCTGTTGTTTTGGGGTGAAATAACAGGACCTTTTCTGAATTGCTTTAGAATAATCTTGAATGTACATCTGACAGGTTTTCATGTGTTTTTAATTTTGACTTGGCTTGTTGGGATAGTACCTGTGCTAAATATAGGTCACAGTAAAAAATTAAAAAGAAAAGTACAACACAGGAAGCTAAAACATATCAAGACCAAAAACATACAAGGAAGGAATTTGTCTTCCAATTTTAACCTTCATACAAACAAAATAAAGGTGTTCTCATTTATTTGTATTTGTTTATAACTATTGTGTAATCTAGAGAGCTTTGGTGCTGGTTAACATAGAACTAGAATCAGAGGTAGCACATGGTAACAAAGTCACTCCCCCTTCAGAGCAACACAATCAGTGTACATCCCGTTACTGAAATTATTGCACATCACTCCAGGTTTTTCACATTTTTATGTATTTTGTATCATGTTTTTGTATATTTATTGAGAATTGTCGTGTGGGAGCATGGGTGATGTAGACTTTTGGGCGGAGCCTTGTACAGACTTGTACTACTGTAAGGAGGGTTTAAATAGGGCCCAGGAGAGATCGCTAGATTACTCAACCATGCATGGATTGGGATCTATATCCTCTGGCGTGTTTTTGCTTTTTTACCCCCTCTTTAAAGAAAACATGCTTCTTTTTGGGGGGTTATATACTTGGGTTACTAATAAATGTAGGTCATTTATTGTGTATATCTTATAGTAAACTGCTGTATTGATGTAAACAGCTGAATAACAGAAACAGGTCCGCTGTTGTGTCCAGAGCTGCAAAGCCTGTTCATTATGGCATTTCACAGTAGCAGCAGCACACTCATGTTTGTGTTTATTGTCTACGTGACACTTCCCAACGCTACAGCCTCACAGTCTGACTCTTTCTGAGAGTCATTACAGTCACTACAGAGCAGTGTGTGGAGACGGGGGGTCGGTGATTTTCTGAGCACACAAATCTCAAATGCAGGGTAATACAAGATTACTCAAACATGCATGAATCAAAATACATTTTTAGAATAATCTTAATCTAAAGTGCATGTGACAGGTTTTCATGCTTTCATTATCACATGTATCGGTGAATCGTGATCTTATCATATTGTGAGCCATGTATCGACTGATTTAACACGGTTATCAGCTCATGAATGTAAACTTAAAAGAAAAAAGTAAATTTACATAAAAATCTGCTATTGGAACTCCTCTGTCATTTGCACAGCTCAAAGTGGTGTGACTGGTCTGAACTCTGCTGTGGCCCCTGGGTGCTGGGGGCTGTCCTGTCCTATCTTGTGTGTTTTTGGCTGGTTAGACACAGATTGTAAAGGATTTCACAGTGAAGAAGGAGCTCAGGGACTCGTAAAAAAAAAGGTGGGTCATTTGTTTTGGCCTTCAGATTAACAGAGAGAATTCCTCCATTACCCATAGCAACCATTCTGTAAACAAGGGGCTGAACAAAAAAAAAAAAAATCTAATTGCGATTTTACTGACAAGTTTTGCGACTGCAAGTACACTTGTGAGTTTTATAGAATTTTGATCAAAGTTCACAGTTCACAGGAGATCTGAACTGACAAACTAATCAAAAAATCACATTTCAGGATTTGTTTGTGCAGATCTAAACTATAGGGTTAGTAGTTTTTATGCACATAAGATGAGATCGATTTTTGATTCGATTGTGGTTCAGCTTTAAAAGTTAAATTTTTAAATAAACAAACACTGACAAATACAAAAACAAGACAACACCTTTATTTTGCGAAACAGGTTAAAATGTCTAAGAGTCCTTGTGTGTATATGCTGTGTACTCCCTGTCATTTTAAACATTCCTTCAAAACTGCCACTTACCTGATGTAAAACTATGGTCACAGGCCTATCACCAAACCAAGAATCAAAAGCACATGCTGCTGTTTATCTGTTGCAGCTCAGGCCTTTAAATGATTCTGTCTATTTAAAAAAGCTTTACTGGGATTCTCCTGCACTATTGTTTTTGTATCTGTGCCGGTCGTTTCAATTTAATCATTTATCGCAGAATATATCACTGTAGCAATGTATCAAGTTTCAAAACGTGTTCTGGTGACAGGCCTCATCTTGACCCCTCCCTCTCTGTTGTGTCCTCTCAGGGTGGACAGACGATGGACAGTGTGACGTTCCACCATGATTCGGTGCTGTCTGATGTGCACATGCTGCAGCCTCGTACACGTCGCCTCATGACCCGACTGACCCGCATCGGACAGCCAGGTACCACAGGGGCAGGAGCTACTGCTCTGTACTCACACATACTTGTACTTGGTGTGTGATTACTTAAAATACTGCGTAACCTTTACATCATAGAGGTGCCATTGGCCTTGAATATTCCACAGTGTGACATTAAACTTGTCTATCTTGCATTCAGTATCTGGTTCATTTTGTTTTGCACGTATTCACAGATCTGACCTGTAACTTGGCTTTGTGATGTCACCTGCTTGTGTCTATTGAAATATTTATTGAATAAATACATCGGTAATGCCATACTATGGAACATTCCAGATAAAGCTATAATACCTTCATGGATGTTTGAGTAATTTAGTGATCTCTCCTGGGCCCTGTTCAAACCATCCTTACAGTTAGCTGTTCGATCCTTTGCAATGCTTCGCCCACAAGCCTACGTCACCCATGCTCCCACATATACAAAATATAATATGAACCTGCACATACTACCATAAACCAGATGCTATGTGCAGTAGTTTCATTAGGCACTGATTGTATTGTGATAGTGCTCTGAAGGGGGAGTAACTTAGTGTGGAGGGCAAATGGGACTCAGTGCATGAAAAACATCAGTGAAAGTTATAAAACATGTTAATATGTTGTTTTGGGTGAATATAGCATTTTCAAAACAATAAAAGGATGTATATGTTACAGTTACCTGGCAGAAGTGTAATAAACCTTTAAAACCAAAACACGCACCTGTAATTTTAGCACATTTCTGAATGAACCACAAAAATATCATCTTATCCTTATTGGGACAGTACAAAGAAATGTGCTTACATTGTCACCCATCCATAAATAATCTTTTCTTTTCTTCAGTCTTCATGTCCAAGTTCCGTATCCTGCCTCAAGAGCAGGTTCTGGACCAGACCGAGGATCCAGACAGCAGTGAGGAGGGGGCCAGTCCTGTCAGAGGGGACCTAAAAACGGGGGACAGTCCTGCTAGAGAGTCCCCAGAGAAGAGGGACGCTGGAGGGGACATGAGCAAAGCAGAGTCCCCAGTGGAGGATCAGAGCCTGCTGCTGGACGAAGACGGAGACTTTGAGTTAACACGGTAATGAACTCCTCATGAGCTCTTCATGAAATATTAAACACCTATTGTGCTTGTGTCTGTTCTAGAGTTACAGTGTACAGCGCTGTGGGAAAAAACTAACTATCTTGCTTTTATTCAATTTACAATGTTCTAAAACATGTATTCTTAACATGAGAGGGGTTGCCTCTCCTTAGATCTGACCCGTAATCATGTCAGTCATGAAAGGGTCTCAGTCTAGATCAGTTACTATATACTGTGAAACATTACACACAACATGATAACATTGCCATGGAAACACATGCTGCACCTTTAACTTACTCTGTACTATACTATATGTGTTGTATTTTTAACCCATAGGTGCAGTATACAACTTTTGTTCTGGGAGGTCTGCCACCTGCTTGTCTCCATGGTGATGTTATAGCTTTGACTGGAATGTTTCCCAGTATGACATTTGTTTTTTTTTTGTAGTTCGTCTACTACTCTCCAAAGCTCAAAATGTTCTTTTCCACCTTGTGATGTCATGAAGCAGTAGTTTTCAAGTTAACAGCTCCTTTTACCTTTTGTTCAGGAATTTCAGGGCTGAAATCATCCAAATGATTCTAGTGAAGGTGTATAGAGTTTAAAAACACAGTGGAGCACTTCCTCTGTTATCACATGACATCACAAGTGTTTTTAGAAGAGCTCAGCTTCTCTCCAGGTGTGTTTGTGATGAGGAAACATATAGTACCAGCACCTCCTGCACAGCACCACCAGCGGACAGGAGAACACCTTTGGGGGCAGGCTGTTGTCCCCGTCCTGCTCCGCAGACACACTCACACTCTGGACGTCGTTTGTTCACACACTGTACACTTATTAGCTCTATAGCTTCACTATATTTGAATTACAGATGTTGTTGTTTAAATTTCCTTCAGGATAATAAAGTATTTCTAATCTAACCAAATCTTATAACATAGATTAGAAAAATGTCTAATATGCACCCTTTAATGTCATACTGTGGAACATTCCAGACAAAGCAATAACATCACATGGAGACAATCAGGTGGTGGACCCAGACAAAGTTACATAGTGCTCCTTTAATAGGGAAAAATCCAGGTTCTCACCAAAACAAAACAGGGATTTAGTGAGGTTATTGAAGTCCAATGAACTTCTCTGTGTTTTTAAAGCTCACACAGCTTCACTGCACTGCTGCTTTTCTGCTGCTTTTCACATAGTTATTGTTATTGTGCTCAGCTGTCTGCACAGTCACACTAATCCAGGCATTCTGTCAGCTCAAAGAACAGACACACACACACGTTTTGACCGGTTATTGATACTATGCAAACTTGCTAAGTCCTCTACACATCCAGAAAGTCCAGATGTTAGAACACAATGTTGTATGCAGCTTGTGTTCTTTCAGTTTTAAAAAGATGCTACAATCATAACTGAACCTGTGTCCCCAGAGCATGAACCTGCAGACAGAGACACATCTGAGTTTGGCTCATTCTCAGTTTATGGACAGAACATGGCACATGTGAAGCTCAGAACCTCCAGAATTCCCTCCCTGAGCTGCAGAGGCTGCACTAGCACTAATTCATGACTGTCTGCAGGTGCTGGAGTTTAGGTAGTGACCATTCAGATCAAAGGGAGACATTTTAGATTTGAGTCAGCTAGATTTCAGCTTTGGAACTGACAACCCAAAAGAGAGACTCGTGTCAGACTCATTCTGTGTTTTGATTGGATAATCATCATGAGAACCAAAACACCAAATTATAGCAACACATATCCATCAAGTCTAATGATTTTGTAATGAAGAACAAATCAGCATTACAGTTGTGCTCAGTAAAAGCTGTATTTGATTTGAGGTCAGGTTTATGAGTTAACACAGACTTCCATTAACCTAGTTTACACTAAAACAGTAAAAATAGGACGATAAGAGCGGACAACTAAAACTAGTTTTAGGCCCACTGCTTAGTTCCCCTTTAATTTCACTGTCCATTCAGGTTTGGTGTGAGACCTGAAGCTCAGTCATGAACAGTGCAGTTCATCACATTTGATCACACTGGAGGATTCTTATGATATGGTCTGAACATTGAGTTAGATGTTGTTGTCTGTCCTCTGTCCAGGCCCCGGAGACAGGCCCCTGAGTGTGGACGAGACGAGGTGTGTCCAGTACTTCTGAGCCAAACTTACCCCCAGGACCCTGAGGACCTAAAAGAAGACTCCACAGATGACAGCCCGCCATCTGCAGATATCATAAGGATAGGTGAGGATACAGCTACAAGAACACATTTACCTGCTGTTTTTTGTTAGTATTTCTTATTATTTCTAATTATCAAAGCGGAACTTTACTCTGTTGCCATCTAGTGGACAATTTTGGAGGAAATATCGAAATAGCCTAAAGTGAAAAGTCACTGTTTTTGTTGTAGTAAGGCACTATACCTGGTGTCTTAAATAACTGAAAAACAGAACTAGTTTTTTTAAACAGTTTACAGTGATCCAAAGTTCTTCTGCACTTTCCTTCGGCATTCTGAACATCCTAATTATTCATCATGATGAATTTATAAGCACTTTTCACAACTCTCAGAGTTTTGTCTCTGAAAAGCTACCACCAAGCACACACTTCCTATTATTGGACAATAAAACACTTTATAATTCAATGCAGACAGTACATAGTACATTTATTTTGACTTCAAGAACTGCTTATACAATAAATCTGTACTGGGGCAAGACACATTTTCCTCAAATCCCCATTAAGAGAAATCAGTTACAGAAGCTTTAAGTTTATAAAGCTCTGTCATCGATCCAACATAGCCACTTCACTAGGTATTAAAAACTTTTTTTTTTTTTTTCCTAACAAAGAATGATTCATCATAGTGTAACTTTCCTTAAGTTCTTCTCCATTATAGTAACATGTATCTTCTCTTGACAGAACACACCATGGCCACACTGTTGGAGGATGTGGGCAAGCAGGTGAGTGGGACTGTCCCTGTGGACGACCGTGCGTAAAAACATGTCAGATTGTATTCGATTAAATTTAAATTGCTTTATTTATTGTCTCCTTATGGAAAAATGTTTCAGAATGAATTGTTGGCTTTGGGCCCCCAGGTCCCCTCTCTCAATCTGATGTTGAACCATGACAGAGAAACTACTCTCACAGGCAGTGTTTTTTTTAGCAGTTTATTTATTTAATCAGACAGGAGCAGTGCACATTTACATTAACTTTAACAGGAGACATGCGTTGTCCCAGGTTGTAGCACCAGTGTGACTGTTGTCATAGGTCTCCTCTGATTGGACAGAATTGTCTGTTCATTGTTTACATTATATTCTACTGTGTGAGGACTAAATTAAAGAGGTAACAGTCAGTTTCCATGACTACAGGTCCTGGAGACAAACAAGCAGCTTTTGAGTTTGCTTATACCTGGATATTGTAAAATGTCCGCACTCTTCTAGAAGTTCATATTAGTGAGCCCACATGTTTGTCCAACCTGAAGGACTAAAGTCATAGTTTCTTATCAAATTACACTGGACATTAGACTGTGTGGGGATGAGCTGTGCATTGCCTCTTGACAACAGGTGTGTGTACAGGTGTGGGCAGGGCCTTGAGTGACAGGTGTGAGTGACAGGTGTGAGTGACAGGTGTATATGTCCAGGTGTGGCGGGGGGCCTTCTTCCTGGCAGACTTCGTCCTGTCAGAGCCCGGTACGTTCAGGGGGACCACAGTTCTGGAGCTGGGAGCAGGGACCGGTCTGACCAGCATCCTCACTGCCTCTGTGGCCAAGAGAGTCTACTGCACCGGTCAGTCCTCGCTCTCCTCCGGTATCCTACTCCTGACCTCTGACCTTTGATCTTGGACTAACAGTGTGCTGTGTGCAGATGTGGGAGAGGACCTACTGAGCATGTGCAGAAGGAATGTCGCTCTGAACAAGCATGTGATGGAACGCAGCGGTGAGAAATAAGAACTAGTCCTGGTTTAGTCCTGGTTTAGTCCCATTTTTCTTAAAATGTCTTAAAATGTGAAACTAGTTCATTTAAAATGGTTTTCAGTGGTCCAAAATTGTTCCTCACTTACCTTCTGCATTCTGAGCGTCCTAAGTATTCACCATGATGTGTTTATAAGCACTTTCCACAACTCTCAGACTCAGAGTGGAGTTTTGCAGTTATGATACTAAGAACAACTAGCATGCTAAAGTGCACTTCCTCATTATCAGACTATACAAAACTTTTTCATTAGCTGCAGACAATACACAGCAAACGTATTTTGATCTCAAAAGTTGCTTTTACAACATATCTGTACCGGGGCAAGACTAGGGATGCATCGATCCAGCTTTTTCAGTGCTGGTACCAATTCTTTTACTCTAGCTTAAGTATCTGCTGATACCCGATATCAACCGATACCAGTGCAGAGAGTGAAGACAGGATTATTTCTTTTAAACTCAACTAGAATTAAAGCTGCGCGCGGCGATGGTGGCCCTCGCCCTGGCGCGCACCGCCCCCCCACGCGACCTCCGGGGACTCGCGACCGCCCCGACAACTCACCCTCTCTTCCCGACATCCGCCCAGGCCGACAGCTCGTCCATTAGACACGTTACATAATGCACCTTTAAATATTTTTAGGAGTCACTGCGCCCCTGCTGGCCAACAGTGGAAAATGCACCATGTCCATAATAGACTTTCTGACTTGTAATCATGCATAGAATTTTAATTCCCAAATTTGGTGCTAATCCGATAATGTTGACATTTCATGTCTATGGTAGGGGGCGCTATAGAGTTCACATTTCATATGTTTTATAGTGTATTATATTCAGGCTGAGATCACACATTAGTGATTCAAATTTCAGCACAATCGGACAAAGTCTGTTGGTGTAATACATTTTTAACTATTTTTTGGGGGAGTCTTTTTTAATTTAAGGTGGCGCTGTTTAATGTCACACTGTGGAACATTCCAGGCAGAGCAATGACATCTCCATAGATGATGAACCTCCACCCAAAAAGTTACACAGTGCAGCTTTTAAGATTTGAGAGCTGCGGCCTGACAAATAGTGTGAACACTGTTGAGCACACAAACATGAGGAGTGACCGCAAATAATCACTTATCAGAAGCAGCACTGGGACCACACCTCCCACAACTCCCAGAGCCAAAACAAACTCAAAACTGAGCACAGAGTCACCTCTAAAAAATGTTTTGAGTTTGGAATTCTTGTGAAATTTAAAGGTCTTAGATTACACAAAATGGATTCTTGTGAGATTTATACATGTACTGTATACATGAACGTGTTATGGAAAAAAAATATATCTCTTGATGATAAGTAATTAATCCATTTACAAATCCCAATGAGCTTTTGGAATATAAGACCAAGGTTTATTCTTGTTACAGCAGGTATGGACAGAGTCTAGGTCTGCCCTGGCCACAGCCCAAAAGCCTGTCTCCTCCAGCAGTATGTCCCTACCACATCTCACTCCATTCCCCCGAATGTTACAAAGCACCAAGTTTATAAAGCCCGAGATGACCAGAGGACATACGTTTCAAAGTGAGAAGGTAATGACTCCTACTTAGGTGTGGTCACATGTGCCTCATCTGATTTGCCTCCATATTCACCTGCGTTTGTCACTTCCTGACAAGATTAGCAAGAAAAGGGAACAGAAGTATTTACACTGAAAGGTCTTTCTAACAAACCAAATGAGTTTTAGTTACAACACCAAATGTCTTCCTAAAAGATAAACTAATCACTGTTTTAATGTAATCAATCATAGTCAATAGTTTCCTGTGGGGGTCTGCTCTCAGGTAGATTCACATTCATTCACACAAAGACATTTCCATCACACATGTATACATGTTACCTCCTCAACAATAGACCCTGTGTTGTTTTGTTTCATTCACACATGTTTGAGTAAGTCTTTATTTCTGTCTACATCTCCAAAACTTAAAATGCTCTGTTCCACCTAATGTAATGAAGTGATCTTGAGTGATCTTGAGTGATTTTGAGTGATCCTTTAACCTGTAATTCAGTAAAGATTGACAATTCCAGGGGTGAAATGATCCAAAGGATTCTAGTGAATTAACTGAATCTTGATTGCGATTTCCATTTGTGTGTCAAATGATCTCCAAACTCATATAACCGAGTTGAAACAATTTATTTACAGTGTTTTTATATCAATAATATATATAGTATAGTATATATAGTATATTTATTTAATTTTTTAAATATAGAGATTGTAGAACAGCTGGATATAGAGTTTATTTTGGATACATTTATGTTTTTCTGCCTTATTTCATGCTCAAAGAATTATTAATTTTATGGTTTATACATCGCAAAACTGCTCTAAGGTTCAGATTTGTAGCCTATATTTATTTTCAATGTGAAAGCATAGCATAAATTATCAATAAGAAAATGTTTTTTTGTTTTTTTTTGTTTTGTGTTTTGTTTGTTTTTAGAGAGAGAGACAAATGCATAAATGTAAATAGAATAAATGCATTTTGTTACTAAAAAATAATCGTTTGAATAATCGTGATTTCAATATTGACCAAAATAATTGTGATAATGATTTTTTTTTTTTCCATAATCGAGCATACCTAAGTGAAGGTGCATGGAGTTTAAAAACACAGTGGAGCTCTTCCTGTATTACCACATGACATCACAGACATCACAAGAACTCAGCCTAAATATGTAGTTTGTGTGTGGATGAAACAAAACACAACTCCAGGTCTGTTTGGGATGAGGAAACTACATTAGAAGAGAGAAAATAGTGTAATATGGCCCTTTAAGGCACAGTTCACATTTCTCATGTTTCTACTTCTGTGTGTTTGTCTGTGTGGGTGTGTGTGTGTGCGTGTGTGCATGTGTGTGTGTGCGTGTGTGTGTGTGCATGTGTGTGTCTTCAGGAGGGGAGGTGATAGTGAAGCAGTTGGACTGGCTTCAGCGTGACCTCTGCACAGGTACAGACTCGGCCCAAGACTCCTGCCTCACACCCTCAGACCCCGTTAGCCTGTACTTGCCTTTCCTTGTTTGTTCCCACTTTTTGTAGCCGTTTATAAAAGCTCTGTGAGGATTTTTGCCTGATGTTTTTAAATGAAGATGTGTAGCCCTTTAAACATTGACATGCAGACAGCCTGAAGATACCTGAATTCCAGTTTAAATAACAATCACTGGTCAGGTCACTGGACAGTTTCCACAAAGTCAAACTGTCTGATGAATATAGATCTTTCTTTTGAACTGGACAACTTTTTTTTTTTTTTTTTTGTGGGTTTCACAATTAGATATATTGAACTCTACCATTAATGTGTGTGTTTGTATGTTTGTTTGTGTGTGCATGTGTTTATATGTTCATGTGCATGTGTGTGTTTATATGTTTATGTGCGCATGTGCATTTATATGTTCGCGTGTATGTGTGTATGTGAGTGTATATGTTTGTGTTCGTGAGTGTGTTTATATGTTTGTATCCGTGTGTGCGCATGTGCATTTATATGTTTGTGTATATGTTTATATCTTCATGTGTGTGCATGTGTGTGTTAATATGTTCATGTGCATGTGTTTATATATTTGTGTATGTGTGTTTATATATTCATGTGTGTGTGTGTGCATGTGTGTGTGTGTTTATATGTTTGTGTGTGTGCATGTGTGTCTTTATATGTTTGTGTGTTTGTGTATGTTTATATGTTTGTGTTTGTGTGTGTGTTTATATGTTCGTGTTTATGTTTATATCTTCATGTGTGTGCATGTGTGTGTTAATATGTTCATGTGCATGTGTTTATATATTTGTGTATGTGTGTTTATATATTCGTGTGTGTGTGCGTGTGTGTGTGTTTATATATTCGTGTGTGTGCGTGTGTGTGTTTATATGTTTGCGTGTGTGCATGTGTGTCTTTATATGTTTGTGTGTGTGTGCGTGTGTGTGTTTATATGTTTGTGTGTTTGTGTGTGTTTATATGTTTGTGTGTGTGTGTGTGGTGTGTTTATATGTTTGTGTGTGTGGTGTGTTTATATGTTTGTGTGTGTTTATATGTTTGTTTGTGTGTGTGTGTGTTTGTGTGTGTGTTATATGTTTGTGTGTGTTTATATGTTTGTGTGTGTGTGTGTGTTTATATGTTTATGTGTGTATGTGTTTATATGTTTGTGTGTGTGTGTGTTTATATGTTTGTGTGTGTGTGTTTATATGTTTGTATGTGTGCATGTGTGTGTTTATATGTTTGTGTATTTGTGTGTGTTTATATGTTCGTGTGTGTGTTTATATGTTCGTGTGTGTGTGTTTATATGTTGGTGTGTGTGTTTATATGTTCATGTGTGTTCGTGTGTGTTTATATGTTCATGTGCGTGTGTGTTTATATGTTTGTGTGCATGTGTGTGCATGTGCATTTATATGTTCGCGTATATGTGCGTGTGTGAGTGTTTACCTTCATGCATGTGTGTGTGATTATATGTTTGTGTGTATGTTTATATCTTCATGTGTGTGCATGTGTGTGTTAATATGTTCGTATGCATGTGTTTATATATTTGTGTGTGTTTATATGTTTATATGTTCATGTACGTGTGTGTGTTTATATGTTTGTGTGCGCATGTGCATTTATATGTTTGTTTGTATGTGTGTGTGAGTGTATACGTTTTTTTATATGTTTGTGTGCATGTGTTTATATATTTGTGTGTGTTTATATGTTCGTGTGTGTGTGTCTTTATATGTTCGTGTGTGTGTGTTTATATGTTCATGTGTGTGAATGTGTGTTTATATGTGTGTGTGTGTGTGTTTATATGTTCGTTTGTGTGTGTTTTTATATGTTCATGTTTATATGTTTGTGTGTGTGTGTTTATATGTTCGTGTGTGTGTGTTTATATGTTCGTGTGTGTTTATATGTTTGTGTGTGTGTTTATATGTTCGTGTGTGTGTGTTTATATGTTCATGTGTGTGAGTGTGTTTATATGTTTGTGTGTGTGTGTTTTTATATGTTCGTGTGTGTGTATATGTTTGTGTGTGTGTGTATATGTTTGTGTGTGTGTTTATATGTTTGTGTGTGTATGTGTATATATATATATGTGTGTGTGTGTTTATATGTTCGTGTGTGTGTGTTTATATGTTCGTGTGTGTGTGTTTATATGTTCGTGTTTGTGTGTGTGTTTATGTTTGTGTGTGTGTTTTTATATGTTCATGTGTGTGTGTTTATATGTTCGTGTGTGTGTGTTTATATGTTTGTGTGTGTGTGTTTATATGTTCGTGTGTGTGTGTTTGTGTGTTCGTGTGTGTGTTTGTATGTTTGTGTGTGTGTGTTTATATGTTCGTGTGTGTGTGTTTATATGTTCGTGTGTGTGTTTGTGTGTTCGTGTGTGTGTTTATATGTTCGTGTGCATGTGTGTGTTTATATGTTCGTGTTCGTGTGTGTGTTTATATGTTCGTGTGTGTGTGTTTTTATATGTTTCTGTGTGTGTGTGCAGATCCAGAGGAGGAGTTCAGCTGGAGTGAGGAAGAGGTGGCTGACCTGTACGACCACACCACAGTCATCATCGCCGCAGACGGTCAGTGTGACAGTCACTCTGCAGTAGGAAAACACACTCCTGATGATTTCTTTATTCATATTATGAGCTTGAACTCAGGATGATCTGACAGTCGAGGCTCCTGAGCTATTGTTCGAAACTGAAACATTGTGTGTAATCAGTTTCAAATAACACCACTGCTCATATAAATACATTTAGGCCGAATTAAAACTTCAACTAATTACAGATGTTGAGGACTAGGCTATGAGATCTGATCCAGTACATCCTTTCACAGTGATGAATGATGATGATGATGGTGGTGCTGGTGGTGATGGTGGTGGTGCACATACTCTTCTTCTCTTCACAGTGGTGTACGATGATGACCTGACCGACGCCTTCTTCAGGACAATGTACCAGCTCTGCTCCAGCTTCACCCACAGCTGTGACGTCTACATTTCCATCGAGAAGAGGTACAGTCATGACAGTCGAGATCTAAAACACAAAGATGACATCACACCTCTGCTCCATAAATAACGAACCTTCCTAAAGTCCTGAAGTCCTTTTAACTCATGTCTTTGGAGTTGAATAATGGCACCACTTTCTGAAGCAATTGTGAAAAAAATAATTTGACTTTAGGTTATTTCCCCTGACCGAGAAGATACTCAACTTTGTGCCATTTTTTTTTGTTTCATGTTGCTAGGCCCAGTAATTACAGAGATACAAATCATAAACCAGGTCAGCAAATCTTCAATCTTACAGTTATAACTAGGGGTGTCAAATTATCGCGTTAATTGCGATTAATTAATTACAGTCATATTTAGCGCGTTATGTTTTTTAATCGCGTTAATCTAATTTTTAATCTCTAACTTTAGTGTTTCTGTATGTGAGTTTCTTTATTATAAAACCTGTTTTTATGTGTTGTTGGGACAACAACACACACACACACACACACAAAACACATTTATAATTTTTTTTATTTCGGTAATTCGACTCATTGCCGGAAACTCACACAAAACGCGCGCAGTAACAGCGATGTAAACGTCATGTTAACGTTGGCGGCATCAGTCGCACAATGGACAAGGTCGAAGAGCCAGTAGAACAGAGCCAGTAGAACAGAGTCAGCAGCGCACAGGTAAAAACACATTCGTGTCTTGGAAATTATTCTCCCGATGTGAAATATAAAAGAAAATAACAAATATAATATCGCCTGAAAACAACCTGCATAGGCTCATGATGTCTGCACTACTGTCCTATAGTGACCTGCCACATGAGGGGACACGCACACAAACACACACAAACACACACAAACAAACACACACCTTCATCATCATCATTAACCTGAGAACGCGCGGACCACGTTTCCTTCCGTAGACACTGCGCGGACACCGCTGTCCTCCAGTGAGCCGCGTGTGGATCGTGTTTTCTCGCGTACGCGGCGTAAACCGCGCTTCCTCCTGTGCGCCTCTAAACCAGAACTAACACCAAGACTAAAACCAGGACTAAACCAGGTCTAAACCAGGACTAAACCAGGACTAAACCAGGACTAAACCAGAACTAAAACCAGAACTAAAACCAGGTCTAAACCAGGACTAAACCAGGACTAAACCAGAACTAAAACCAGAACTAAAACCAGGTCTAAACCAGGTCTAAACCAGGTCTAAACCAGGTCTAAACCAGGACTAAACCAGGACTAAACCAGAACTAACACCAGGTCTAAACCAGGTCTAAACCAGGTCTAAACCAGGACTAAACCAGAACTAACACCAGGACTAAAACCAGGATTAATCCATTCCAGGACTAAACTAGGACTAAAGTAGGTCTAAACCAGGTCTAAACCAGGACTAAAACCAGTGATCTCATATATATTTCTCTATCAATAATATTTTTAATATGGTTAAGGAAAGACTGGACTTTTTATTGTCTTTAAGTAGACAAAAGTTATTATGTTCAGATTTCCTCGTCTTTGTTACTTTACAACAAACAGTTTCTTATTCATGGAGACTTGGGCTCAACAGCCAATTTGGAGAGATTTGTTAAACAATAAATGACTTTATAAAGTTACTTTTTAAAATCTATATTAGTCTTTTGATCTGCCACAATAATGTAATAATGAATTTAAATGAAAATACCTCAAATTGAAGGCTTTTCTCAGCAATTTTTAGGTGAGATTAAAATGAGATTAATTAGATTAATTAATTACAGATCATAATTAATTAATCTCTCAATTTTTTTAATCGCATGACAGCACTAGTTATAACACAGCAGTAACCCCATCTGAGGATTCTGACCCGTCTGCAGCTTCATAATCTTGAGTCTAATGTTATTGTTGTAGTAAGATGAGCAGTCTAACTTGACACGGGCACTTGAAGTTTCAGTCCTGGGTTACAGTGCTCCTGCTCACTTTGCATGTAAACTTTGCATGTTGGATTGATGCTGTGTTAGGCTGAACTTCACACTGCGCCACCTAGAGGTCTGCTGTGAGGCCTACGAGCACTTCCACCACTGTCTGCAGCAGCTCCAGGACATCGAGGGGCACGTCCACTTCAGCACCCAGAGAGTGGCCCCCAGCTTCCCCCAGAGCCTCATGTATGAGCGCGTGCACCAGCTGGTGAGGAGCACACACGGGGGTAACACACTTCACACATGATCAGTTGGGGATCAAAATCTGTTTCCAGTAGCTACAACATTTAGTACAGTGACAACACTGTTTTATTGCACTGAAAAACATGCGCCCTTACTGTGAGCGGGCTTGCATCTCCACAAACCTGACCCTTACTTGACCTGAAGGGTCATGTCAATAACATGGAGACAAGCGAGTGGCACACTGTTCACCAGAAAAGTTACACCAGAAATATCACCATCTTTCACACACGTGTTTTACTAGTTACTATTTTTTTTTCTAACCAGCTACTTTTTGTGTACAGGAGCTGTGGAAGGTGTCCGCCACATACACTACCAAGCTTCCGGAGAGCTCCGCTGACCACCATCTGTCTGGACTGTGATCTGACCGCTTGGACCCCAGCTGACCACCGCTTCCTGGGCTGGGCTCTGACCACTCGATGTGTGGACTGTGGGCATGGAGGTGTGAGAGTGGAATATTAATGAGCAGTCTTCTATAGACGAAGCTCCAGAGGACTGCAGGCTCCAGGCTTCACTCAGTGTGACCTGTACGTGTCTAAAGTGGACCCGAACCAGGGACAAAGCTGCCAAACTGTGAATGCTAACAGTGAATGTATGTATTTGAATGAGAAGTGACCTTATTTAAGAAGCACATGCACCTTGGGCTCAAGTATTTGGGAAAATGTCCCATTGTGATATTTCTGATTAGATTTTGTGTTTTAATGTTTAGATCCTTTTCAAAGTTCACTTTTTCAACACAAAGGTCACAAGATTTGACCAAAAGTCTGACAAACTAATACAAGAATCACATTTGAGAACATGTTTGTACAGATCTAAACTACAGGGTGAGCTGCTTTTATACATTCTTTTAAATGTATGTATTTTAAAGCCACAATATGTCACTTTTTAGACAGGAAACAAATCTGTTGATCTCAATGTGTTTTTTTTCTGCTGACATGTTTGTGTGGGCGTCTGTTTTCAGAAGAGTGCTCTCTGATCAGAACACTGTTATTGATCACTGCTCTGTGTTCCTTCAGGATGTGGCTGTGCCCCCTGACCTGACAGGTCAAAAACAAAACAAACAAACCTTTTTTGCTTTACAAAGTTGTCTAAAATAAGACATCACGAATTTCATTCATGGGAAACTTTTTTTTTTTTTTCATTTTGATTGTGTTTTTTGCACAAGTAAGCATCCTTCGTGTGACACTTGCATCTCCACAAACCTGACTTTTTTGGCCTGGAGCAGGGCCTCTTCCTGCTTGGTTCCATGGAAATGTTGTTGCTATGGTTAAAGTGTTGTTTTAATTTTCTGTTGTACAATTCTACTGAATCATGCAGGAGACATCCCACCCCCAGAAAGTGACATACTGTAGCTTTAAATTATTTACTTGCACATTAGAAGTTTTCTTTGAGTACTAACTGACCTGTGAAGTGAGTCTGGATGTGGACATGTGTTTGACAGGGCTGTTGCTGCACTGGCTTCTCTCTTTGCATCTGTCTAGTGGGCTCACACACATACCCATGACCCAGTGCAGGCTCCCAGGGGCCCAACAGATACCTGCTTCTGTTTTTGACTCCATGTTCCAGAAGGAATTGAACCATCAGTATTTTCTTCTTCTTTTTTGTGGTAATATAAAGCTGCACCGTGTCACTTTTAAGGTGAAGGGTTTGAAAACTTGGTCTCTGTGGAGGTATTCTTGTTTTGCCTGGAATGTTTCACATTATACCATTACACTATCTATCTCCATGGCGATAAGCAGCTGACCATCCCAAGTATTTTTGTTAACAATAGTACATAGAGCTGTATGTATACATCTCAATCAGAAAAGTTACATAGTGCAGCTTTGTTTTAACTTAAGAAGTTTGGTTCTGACACTGAATCACAGAATTAGTCAAATATTTTTCAATCTAACTATATTTGAATCTCAATTTTAAATCTAACTTTGTATTGTAACGATTTCTATGAGTGAAAGAGCGTCCACACATGTTTGACGTGTGTGTGGTGTGGAGCTTTAAAATAAACTTTTATATTTTGAGTTTGGTATTGTTTCTTCTGGATATGAAAATATATACTCTTAAAATGCCTACATAGCCCTTCAGAGCGCCCCCTGTAGGCCTGCAGACTCTAACCCATGTTCTGGAGAGGGGCTTCTCTGAACGATCTGCTCACATGTCCCTTCATGTGTGTAACCACGGCTTTCACATCCCAGTCTTCTATAGGCCTGTGCTACTTAAGGTGCACAATGAGACTTTTCTGTTTAAGGGTCTGTATCCTCTTGGTTTTGCTTGGAATGTTCCAAAGTATGGCATAAAAAATCCATAATTGCACAATAAAGATGGCAAGTAGTAGTAGTAGTAGTAGTAGTAGTAGTATACATGATCAGGTTCAATAGTTTATTGTCCTTTTTGTTAGAGATGCAGTGATCCAGGTTTTTCAGCTCCAATACGATATTAACTGATACCAGTGTAGGTACTGAGAAAAAAAAAACAGTTCACTTATTACAAACTAACAACAGAAAAGTTTAGTATGAAGAAAAGTTGAAACGTTATGAGACATTCTGGGCCTGTGTGAGTCTGTAAAGAATCTTAGTGCATCAAATTAGGGCCCAACCAGAACCCATCTCTGAACCAATATCATGAGACCGATACCCGACCCAGCGCTGGTGCGCGGGATGTACTGATACTGATTCTGTACATATCTAGACTTTGTAAATTAAAATAACTTCTAATCAATAACTTGGTTTCAGATCAGTTCTGCAGGTCAGACCTGAGCATTGTCCAGCTCCCAGGTGACTGTTCAACTCTCACTGGTCCATTTAAGCTATTTACAATTACAAAATAAATATATTTTATAATTTGACCTCATGCATGGACTAAAGCTCTATCGCTTTAATTTACAGACGTGTTCTTTTGTTTATGGCATTGTAAGGCCGCCTCACTTTTTCATTGCTTAGTCACAACATAAATGATAAAACACAATCATGTTTACTGATTTTTATTAAGAAATACAATTAATATTATGTAGAATTGAGTTCAGTATTTTCAAGTACGTCACTACAAACTGAAAGCCCCCCAGACTGAACCACATGGGACCTTCAGATTCTAGAACAGTGTTCTACTTGAGTATGTACTTGATGATGTAGGCCATATTTTCATAAGATTAGAGAAGTCCTCCAGTGCTCCTGATCACAGTCAGACACTAGACTCCTGAAGTGTCCGGCCCCACAGCAGCCTGACCTGACCTGACCTGCCTCATTGTTCTGTTCCAGAAGGTGATGTGGTTGAGGCTGGCAGACAAACAGCACGTTACAATAGGCCCTGTGCATTTGACTCTAGAGCATCATGTGATCTGAAACCACGGCCCGTGTCATTATGGATTCACCTTCTTCTTCAATAGACCATCATCATGTCCAGCTTTGCTCTCGATGTTTTTGTGACCCCTGAGCTTTGGGGGCGTGACCTCCTGACGCCCCTCCCCTCGTCAGTGGGCGGAGTCAGCTCAGATGTAGCGCCAGGCCGCAGCGGTGCGCGCACACTGGAGCCGCGCGCAGAACGTGGTGCCGCTGGTGTGACTGCCGCTCGTCGCTGGACTCCGGGGGTACGTGAGTCCGTTTGTCCGCTCTGCACCTCACCTCCCGCGAGGAGCTCGGGCACGAAGCCCCGCGCCTCGTACCGTAGGCCTACCGCCGGCTACAGCCCGCGCGCTCACTGATGTGCCGTAGGAGCGGCGTGTCCGCGCGCACATCCTCCGCAGTCCGGACGGTCTGGTGCGTGTGTCGCTGTGGCGGTGGAGAGCTGCCCGAGTAATCTATAACCCGAGAGCCGGACAGATCCAGTCAGAACCGGTTCTTAGACGGCTCTTTCACATCCAAAGCGCGTGTGCAGCTGCGGGCATCCAGGCTGCAGCTTATGCAACAAAGTGGAGCAATATGTTAATGTAGACAGATGATTAACATTGCGTAATTAGCCCTGTATGAGAGTAGATGTAGAGAGCCCATGTGTTCTGGGCAGTGGTCTGGTGAGTTCTGATGAGTTCTGGTGTCAGTGCGGCTCGGGTTTGTCACCGTGACTCGCGCGCCTTCACTCCTTATTTGAGCTGTTTGCGCTGAAGCTGGAGAAGATCTGCAGCCCGAGGAAGTAAACAAGACGGACTGAATGTTGTGAAACCTCCTCGCCTTTTGAGTGTGTGAGCCGAGGAGAGAGAGGGGGGCTGGAAGGAAAGATAAGGAAGAGAAGAACAAGGGCAGTGATGGATGTGGGAAAAAGGATGAAAGATGTTGAAAGAGGAATACAAGAGGAGGAGGTAGAGAGTGAGAAAGAGAGAGAGAAAGCAGAGAAGATGGAGCAGTGGCAGAGTCAGACTTTTTTCTGTGAGAGGAGCCAGAGTGTGTCGAGGTCTGGCTCCGTCGTTATCTGTTTGTTGTCATTGGGCTTTTAGAGGTGATTTTATTATTTTTTTAAATAACATTTTAACTCTTTCCCCCCTTTTTCTCTCTGCATTAAGTCACTCCCCCTTCAGAGCACGATCACTACACAATCAGTGTGCGTCCCACTAATGAAACTCCTGCACATCACACCAGGTTTGTCAAGTTGCTCTGTGCAGTTTTGTATCATGTTTTTGTGTATTTATAGAGAACTGTCATGTGGGAGGTTGGGTGAGAGATCGCTAGATTGCTTAAACATGCGTGGATGATAAACCCCCTCTGATGCAATTTCGTGTTTACTTCAGTTAAGCTACGCAGGTAGTTAAGGCTTAATAGTTAAGCAAATAGTTCTTGTAATGAAGGGAGAGAGGAGTGGAGGAGTTGGGGTAATAGAACAAGGGAATGAAGGAGTGCAAGGAGAGAGGAGATACAGAGAGATTAGAGACAGAGGGAGGAGAGAGGAGAGAGGTTAGACAGAGAGAGGAGAGAGGAGATATAGAAGCAGGTCAGCCTGAGCCCGGGGCCCTGCTTCCAGCCATGCTGCAGCTCTGTGCATTCATTGTGTTATATCACAAAGTCTAAAGGGTTACTATAGATATTAAGGAATAGACTCAATACTTGATACTGATACTGAGAGAAACCATCTTTCTTCTAGACAATATACTGTGATTTTTAACATTAAATGTTTGTACTTTCTTTTCTCTTCTCATGTGTGTTATATGTGTGTAATGGTCAGTGGTGCAGTAGGTTCATGTTGGTCCATGGGTGTGTACTAGTCTATGTGCTCTGACACTTATTCTCATACAACTCAACATCATTCTCAACACATTCAGGAAAGGTTCATTTCTGTCCTGTCAATGGGATAGTTTTAGTATCGATACCTCCTTAAATGAGTATCTACCTTCAGTACTAGTTTTAGCATCAAGTATATGATTTTCAGCACTTGTGACAATCCGTGTCAGCAGCAGCAGCAGTAGCAGTAGCAGTAGCAGTAGTAGTAGCAGTAGTAGCAGCAGTAGCAGTTGTACAGTCCCTGACAAAAGTCTTGTCGCTTATCCATTTTGTAGAAACAAAAGCTTATAACCTGACTTTAAATTAATCAATTGGTTTTAGAAATGTCTCATATGAAAGCTAAAACCCTCCCAAATTATGCTCAATATACTAAAATAAATTTGCTTCACTGAAGAAAGATTGATCATTTAATGAACACAGAAAGGTCAGATTTTGGCAAGACAAAAGTCTTGTCGCCTACAGACAATTGAACAAATAATTTACTTCAAATACAAAAATATGTTGCATAACGTCAGTGAATTAAGTAGTGGTGCTGTGAGATCCATATTTAATATCTTGTATGACTTCCATGAGCTTGAAGGACTGCATCCATGCGGTTCAACAATGATTCATACAATTTGTTGATGAAGTCATGAGGAATAGCAAAGAATGCAGTCTTACATGCCTCCCAGAGTTCATCAAGGTTCTTTGGTTTTGCCTTCCATGCTTCCTCTTTCATTCTACCTCAGACATGTTCAATGATGTTCATGTCTGGTGACTGGACTGGCCAGTCCTGGAGCACCTTGATCTTCTTCGCCTTGAGAAACTTTGATGTAGAGATAGAAGTATGCGATGAAGCACCATCCTGCTTCAAAATTTGACCCCTTTTATGGTTGGGAATGTAAGAGGTAGTTAATACTTCCTGATATTTTAGGCTATTGATATTGCCTTCCACCCTGCAAATGTCTCGCACACCCCCATACTGGATGTAACCCCAGACCATGATTTTTCCGCCACCAAACTTAACTGTTTTCTCTGTGAATCTTGGATCCATGTGGCTCCAGTAGGTCTCCTGCAATATTTGCGGCGGCTGTGATGTAATTCAACCGAGGATTCATCTGAGAAATCCACCTTCTGCCACTTTTCCAGTGTCCATCCTTTTAGCAGGCTGTGGGCCTTGGCAAATGCCACACGGTTTTTTAATTGCCTTTTGTTTAGTGCTGGTTTCTGTGCACTGATTTGACCATGGAGGCCATTTTGAGACAGAATTCTACAAACTGTTCTGGTTGACACAGGGACTTGAGGTGACCAGGCCTGGTGGAGCTCTGCTGCAGTGGAAAAGGGGCTGGCCTTGGATTTTTGAATCAACAAATGTCAGTTGTCTTGCGGGGTCTGCCGGACCTGGGCTTGTCAAAAACATCTCCAGTCATTTCAGATCTTTTTCTTCTTCTTTGTACTTGACGCTGAGACACATTGAAGGTGTCACCACCTCAGCAGTGGATCTGGTCTTCAGCCTCTTGATAATTAACGCTTTGGTCTCAGGGTGGATCTTAGGCATGTTGTCAGAGGTCAAGTTGCATTTGATGTGAAGGTCTGGTGTGCTGGGGTTCCTTTTATACACACCCACTAATTGATTGATCAGTAACTGATCACAGGTGAGGCTGTAATCTAGGATTGGGTGCATCATATGACAAGGTGACAAGACTTTTGTCTTGCCAAAATCTGACCTTTCTGTGTTCATTAAATGATCAGTCTTTCTTCAGTGAAGCAAATTTATTTTAGTATATTGAGCATAATTTGGGAGGGTTTTAGCTTTAAATATGAGACATTTCTAAAACCAATTGATTAATTTAAAGTCAGGTTATAAGCTTTTGTTTCTACAAAATGGATAAGCGACAAGACTTTTGTCAGGGACTGTAGTAGTAGTAGTAGTAGTAGTAGTAGCAGCAGCAGCAGTAGCAGCAGCAGTAGCAGTAGTAGTAGTAGTAGTAGTGGTAGCAGCAGCAGCAGCAGCAGCAGCAGCAGCAGCAGTAGCAGTAGCAGTAGCAGTAGCAGGTTGGGTTCAGTCAAAGTGTCAAAGGTCACATGGTGATGTAAACATGTTCTGTGTTACAGAAGTGTAATAGCTCGTCTTTAATGAGTCAGGGATTATGTGAATGGTGCATTAGTCATGTTTACTCAGATGAATTACTGTCTCCCTGAGGGCTGGTGTAGTACTTGTGCCCTGTGCCACAGAGGTGTTTAACAGTACTCACTCACCCCTGAGGCCCACACAGTACTGCACCTCTGGAGGCTCAGTGTGTCACTGTGTGTGTGTCACTGTGTGTGTGTGTGTGTGTGTGTGTGCGTGTGTGCGTGTGAGTCGGATGTGGGCCACACACTGACCAGGTCTGACCCTCACTGCTGTGTTTAACAGATGTCTCTATAGCACTGTCTCCTGCAAGAACCACTATTAATATACAGTATTATACTATACCAGGACTAAACCTGGACTGAACCTGGACTGAACCTGGACTAAACCAGGACTAAACCAGGACTAAACCAGGACTGAACCAGGACTGAACCAGGACTGAACCAGGACTGAACCAGGACTAAACTAGGGATGCATCCATCCAGCTTTTTCTACTCTTATATGATACTGATAATCCTGGGTATTGGCCGATACCCAGTATTAACCAATAGGGGTGTTAATGGTACAAAAATCACAGTTTTGTACCTCGGTTCATTTTCAGTACAGTTTGGGACCAAAATGCAAAACCATTTGCTTGTTGTTTATTTGTGTGTTTATTAAACCAACCATTTCTTTTAACATTATACAAACAGGAAAATAAAATAAATGCAAAGTGCTGCTTGGTAATACTAATAAGTTCAATAAAATATTCTCAAATAAGCCACAAATGTTTGAAATATTATAAAAAATAAAATTCCTTGTAAACAGTTAACAAAACTTTTCCAAAAGTAAAGTGCAGCACTAACAGCCTGAAGTTTTACTCAGTCTTCAGATTTTTGACCAGAAAAAAACAACTTGTCCTCAGTGTTTGCAGTAAGTGCACATCTGCGGGGAGGGCAAAGATTTCGTTCCAGCAAAAGATGAATTAGGACCAGGGCGTGATGACTGTAGTTTTGACTGTAGTTGTTGTGATGGCGGTCACCCTAACCATAAAGCGGATGAGTTCTTATTAAAGACCCGAGCCTCCATGTAGCTGCACCTGAACTGACCAAATGTAAACACACCGAACCAAACGTCTCGTGTAGGAACAGTTCAGCATGAATACATGCACCGTTACACCTCTATTAACCAACAGGCGACCAGAGACTTGTCTCGACTTACATGAGTCTGTAAATAGTCTTATTACATCAAAAGGCCAAAGCAGCACATCAGCTGAAGGATTTCACTGATACTGATACTCACTTCTCATCCAGAAACATTTCCTGATGGAACTGTCCTGGACTCAACCATTACTGAGCAGAACTGAACCAAGATTAAACCAGGATTAAACCAGGACTAAAAAAAGGACTAAACTAGGTCTAATAGAACAAATGCAGTAAGTCTAAACTAAACAGATGTAAGGACCAAAGTGGAACTGAACCAAGACTAAACCACTTCAGAACCAGGACTAAAGCACTTCAGAACCAGGACTAAAGCACTTCAGAACCAGGACTAAAGCACTTCAGAACCAGGACTAAAGCACTTCAGAACCAGGACTAAAGCAGGTTTGACCCTGAGTGAGTCCTGCCCGGTCACATGAGGACTCTGCTCTCATCAGCCACCAGATAAAATACAATCAAACTCCATCCACTGTTTAATGATCTACTGTAGCCCACATAATGTCCCCGTGTGTCAGATGCCCTCCCCGTGTGTCAGATGATGGACAGAATTTCTCCTTCTTTGCTCAAACTCAGTTGAACATTATTTCTACATTTGTTGGTCTGTGAAATACGGTGGCTGGCAAGTGCAAAACACTTATATATTTCACAATTCACGTTAATAAGTTTGAAAACAAAATTACAATTAAAATACACATTTACATCTTGAAAACAAATTTACATTTCATAAAACACATTTGCAAATCTGCAAACAAATTTACAAAACACAAAACACTCCCAGACAAATTTACATGTGGCAAAAACACAAATACAAACCCCTGAAACACAAAGACGTTTTGACAACAGCCGGAAGTGCCACCGTGTCAGGAAACGTAACTTCCAGTTAATGCTTTTCAATGGCAAAATGTCTTACGTATTCACCAAATCTTCAACCAACAAGCTCCACAAAGGACATATTCTGTCCACAAACTATCAAGATAAGAAAGATAAAACATTAGTGAACTTCTCCTGAGCAAAAGTAACATTATGGTTGTTCATCATTTCCACTTTTAAGAACATTCCCTTTCCACCAAGAACGTTCTTGTTCATTTGTTTTGAGGGTTTGTATTTGTGTTTTTGCCACATGTAAATTTATCTCGGCGCTTGAACAAATGTTTCGTGTTTTGTAAATTTTTTTGCTCATTTGCAAATGTGTTTTATGAAACTTGGAATTTGTTTTCAAGGTGTATTTTAAATGTAATTCTGTTTTCAGACTTAATGTGTGTTAATGTGTGTTGTAAAATGTAAAAGTGTTTTGCACTTGCTGGCCACCATAGTGAAATGTGAAGTTACAGATGCTACAGCGGTTCAGCATCATCCGTATGTCCGTCTCTCGCCACAGTCGTCTATTAGATGAACATATTCTGAGCATTATTAAATCAATATTCTCTTCACGAGTGTCTGTGTCCAGCAGTGCACTAGCCAGCTCACAAGCACTCACAATGAACTGAAAGATTATCTAAATGTTTTTTATATGTAGTGCACTTCAGTTTGTGCCCTTGTTTTGTTTTATTATTTATTCTGCCTCAAACTCAGCATTAGCATTAAGACACAAACCCCTCCCTTTAAACACACAAGTGTGATAAGGGTCAAAGGTCGTCACACACAACTCAAGTGTGCACTTTAACACGTGCTGATGCTCTTATCTCCTCAAAAACAGACATGGACTTGTTTTGTTTCATTCACACATGTTTGAGTAACACGTAATTATTAGCCTGTTTACATCTCTAAAGATCTAAATGCTCTGTTCCACCTTGTGATGTCATGAAGTGGTATTTTTCAAGTGAACAGCTCCTTTTACCTTTAGTTTAAAGGTTGGCAGTTCCAGGTCTGCAATGATCCACATGATTCTAGCGAAGTTTGGTTTATGAAGTAGATTTGGCTGTGAAATGCATGATGCACCATTCTATGTCAAAATGTAGTTTGCATGAACAATATTCAAATGGATTTCTTTTTTGAAAAATAAGCCATGAAATGATTTTGTTTGTTAGTTGAATTAAACTAAGTCTTCAATTCTCCCAGTTTTGTTTATGTAGCATATATGATGATGCTTGCCAAAAGGAAATAAGGATTATTGTAGGCTAGATCAGAAGAAGAAGGTATCGGCTCTGGGAGGTGTGTGACAGAATAATACTGAGTCAGAAAATTATGATTTAGTGGCTGATGCCATGTATTAACAGTGCTTATAGTGAACAACAACAAAAAACAATATTTACAATTCTGCAGATTAATAATCAAGCTTGATACCAGTAATATTCAGGTACATTTACAAATTTCCTTATAATGAATGTGTAACCATATAAAAGAGTTTAACAGTACAGTCCAGTGATTTTTGTTTTTTTTTCCAACACGCTTACTGCAATAGCAGTACCGTCACCAACTCGCTTTCCACAAGGTGAGTAGGAGAGTCCAGAATTTTTGACTGAGGGTTTGAATTGTCCTTAAGCGCAAAACAGTAGGAGCGAGTAGTGGGTAGAAACAGGGTGGGGAGCGACTGGCTGTACAGCCTCCTACCAGACCGCAGAAGGGATGATGGTAACGATGATATGGTTCACGTGGGTTCATGGGCTGTTCTAGCTCGCCATCGAAGGGGGGTTTTGCACCCAATGGGGGCACACCTGGCCAATCCCACTGCGAAATGGTTGCACGGCTAGAACACGTCTTCTGCAGTGATATGAGACCTCTGTACAGCAGTCCTGTGGCTCCTCTCCCCAACTCCTGAATGAGGGAGAGCAGGCACAGGAGGCTTGTATCGGGTACTGCGAGAAATTTGATTGGAGGATCGCACGCCATGTGTGCGTAGCGGCACGTGACTTTACGTGGTTTACGTACAGGTAGAAATAATAAATAAATATTTTATTTGACGCAGTTAGGCACGTTTTTAGACCTGGGTTACATTTAGTAAAGCCACACATGATCACATAAGCTCAACTCTACAGGACTCTGCTCTGTGCACTGTGCTCCTAAATACAACCGAACCAGGACCGACCCAGGACTGAACGAGATCGGGGATTTAAATCCAGAACAAAAAGAATGTTTGGTGAATTTTATCAATGGGAAAGACGTTATTGTCCTTCTTCCTACAGGATTTGGAAAAAGCTTAATATACCAGTTAACCCCGTTAGCGACGCTTTATATACATCACGACCAAATAGCAGAGAGTGGTTAAATGAAAAAAAGTACCCACCTATCGTCGAGTGAATGAATCCTAACAATGCCAGGTCATACGGTTTCTACGAAGTGAAAGCGGCTGATGAATCAGACTAATTCAGCACTGGAACAGTGTCATACTTTATTTTGTAATTGTGTTTTTTGTGTTTATTGTTCATAATGTGGATGAATGAAATGTGGAATGTAGGATCTGCCCAAATTTACCTACAGGCACAAATAAAGTGACCGAACCTGACCTGAATGAACCAGGACTGAACTAGGACTGAACCAAGACTAAACCAGGACTGTATCAGGACTACACTGGGGATGGACCAGAACTGGATTAGGTCTAAAGGAGGACTAAGTCAGGACGCAACAAAGACTTTAGCAATACCAAACCTTAACCAGGACTTAACCAGGACTAAACCAGGACTACATGTGCTCTGTGATGGAGATGGCTGCAGTCTGCTTTGTTGTGTCCTCTTATGTAATCTCAGGCACAAAGGGAAGCTGACCCATCCACATGCGCGCGCTCGCATGCGCAAACTCAGACATAGCTCTCGCATGCTCATATATTGGGTTTCTTATCTTTTCGGGAACATCAATCAATCAAATACAACATTTACTGATAACTACTGAGCTAAAATGTCTGTCTCTGATCTAAACTCCAGCCCCTGCACCTGTCATGAGTCAGTGCTAGTGCAGCCTCTGCAGCTCAGGGAGGGAATTCTGGAGATTCTGATCTTTCACATGAGGCCTGTCCATAAACTGAGAATGAAACAAACTTGGATGTGTCTCTGTCTGCAGGTGAAGGCTCTGGAGACACAGATTTAGTTGTGAATGGAATTATTTTGAAAAACAGTAAGAGTGTAGAGTACACAACTCCTTTAACCATAGTCACTGCTTACCAAATCTTCATGGCTTTCCCCACGTCTGAACTTTACTTCAGCTTCTTTAACCCGATGAATGAAGAATGAATTTTCAACATTTCTGTCATGGGGACATGTTTGTGTCCATGAGTCACACTGATCCCCAACCATACTGTACAGACTATACACACTGACCACACAATGTGATAACACACACACTAACACACACACACACACACGCGCACACACACACAATACACACAATACAGAGACTCTCACATGCACATGCTCATGTGCATACGCACACACGCACAGACACACACACACACACGCACACACTTGGATGCACACAGGCGCTCGCCTCGTTCCTTGGCAACATGCTGAACTGGCTCAGACTGGTTGAGTTACACAAGGCTGTGACTGTGTGTGTGTGCGTGTGCATGCGTGTGTGCGTGTGTGCGTGCGTGTGCTGTGACTGAGGCGCAGTGGAGGAGGTGGAGGATTTCCAGAGTGTAACACAGGGGCTTGAGGAGGACCCTGAACCCGGTCTGGACTGGTTTGTTTGTATGTATGTTTGTTTGTTTGTATGTATGTTTGCTTGTATGTATGTATGTATGTATGTATGTATGTATGTATGTATGTATGTATGTATGTGTGTATGTATGTATGGATGTATGTACATACGTACGTATGTATGTGTGTGTGTGTGTGTGTATGTGTGTGCGTGTATGCGTGTATGTGTGTGTGTGTGTGCGTGTATGTGTGTGTGTGTGTATGTATGTATGTACATATGTGTGTTTATGTTTGTATGTATGCATGTATGTATGTATGTATGTATGGCACTGCTTCATGGACACTTTGGTGTGCATACAGTGTGTGGTTTGATAAAGAGATCTGTGATTACATTCAATCCAAACACTTTCATTTTTAGATTGAATCTTTGAATCATGTACATGCTCAGATTTTCTTCTTCTTCTTCTTTCTTCTTCAGATTTTTTTAAAGGAGCTGTACGTATCCTATGGTCTTACAATTTAAGAAAGGGATTTTAATCACAACTGGACCTGGGTTGCTAGAGCATTAACCAGAGTTCAGTTAGTGAGCTACAGCTCAGACTCCTGCCTCTCTCTGAAACTGGCTCACAGCACTATGACCCCCCCCCGCAGGCCTGACTCCATGGTGGGGTGGTAATGCCATACTGGGCGATGTAACCTGAAATTGAAAATCAATATGTGGAATAAAAATGGTGATACAGTCCTACAGTACCAGTACACAGATACTCTTCTTCATCCACAGTTGTGTAATGGAGTAAGACTATGTAGTAACCTTGTGCCCTCCTGTGTGCCCTCAGGTGTAGTGTGATTGTATTGTCCGTCACCATGGCAACCCTGCTGTTTACACGCCAGCTCAGCCTCTCCCTGCACAGCCTGCGCTCCTCACTCTCAGGTAGGTCCTCTGTACTGCTGCTTTCAGATGACGTCACAACATTCTACAGGCCAATCATGTTGAACATAGAAGGGGATCAGGTAAAATTAATATTGTTCAAATGCAGATTTTGGTTGTAATACAGTGAGTTCTTGGGTCTAGTCACTAGTAGAAGTGATCATGTTCAACATTTGTGAATCTACCTTTTAGATAAATGCCTAACAACCACATCCACATCTTTGTCCCCCATAAAAATGACTATCATACACAAAACTAGGGACACATTGATCCAATATTGATTTTGGATATTAGTTTCTGATATCAGCACAGATACAGAAAAATTTTTGGATCAGATATCAGCTAAAAAATATCGGTTCAGTTCAGCCGATATTCTGGATGAAAAGATGAACTGTTATAGTTTTGATTGATAGTTTCAAGAAATTTCAGTTTTCAGCATCTGCACTGGTGTAGGCAGGTCCATATGTATTAGGGGTGTAACAGTGCATGAGTGAATTTGTTCAATTTATGTGTGTTTACATTCCGCCACTACATGTGCAGCTACATGGAAGGCTCGGCTCTTTAATATTCACGAGGGAACTGCTCTGTGTGCCCTCCCCCCCATGGCAATTGTTGTCAAGGAAACCCTGCCACCCCAATCACAGACGAGTTCCCCCTGAATATTAAAGAGCTGAGCCTTCTGTGTGGCTGCACGTGTAGTGGCTGAATGTAAACACACACAAATTGCACAAAATCACTTGTGCACAGCCCTGTACTGAACCGAACGTCCCGTACCAAAACATGTACGTGGTACATGTATCGTTACAACCCTAGAAAATAGTGTGATTTTAATTGTGTTGGGTTCGGTCGGGTTCGGACACAAATATCTTAATACCTGTTGGGCTTGGGTTGGTTCTATCACTGCCATGTCAGACGCAGGCCGGGCTCGGACAGAAAAATTCAGCCCAATCCACACTCTAGTCACCCCCAACTGAAAAGTTACACTATGCACCTTTAATATACTGATTCTTATCCAGAAAGACAATAAAAACACAATTTCTTTAGACAATAGAATGTGGTTTTCAACATGAAATGGTAGTACTTTCTTTACTATTTCCATGTGTCCTTATGTGTATGTGTGTAATCCCTCAATGGTCCAGGTAGGTTCTCAGTGGTCCGTGTATGTGTACTAGTCTGTGTGCTCTTCTACTTGTTCTGATGCAGCTCAACATCAGGAAAGGCTCATTTTTGTCCTGAGAATGAGATGTTTTTCACATAGATACCTGCTCAAATGACTAGTTTTAGTGTCAGTTTGTATCAGATTTTTGGTACGTTTGACAGCTCTATGTCCTGCAGGGGATGAAATGTAGCTTCTCATATAATTTCAGGTAGCAATCTTATCAAAGTTTGCATATAATTTCTAGAGTTCTGTTTTGCTATAGCCTGCTCACATTGTACAAAGGTAAGGTCGGGTCAGCTCCACTGACACAGTCTAAACCAGCTCCTCTGTGTTTGTATTTGTTTTGGGTAGAAACTCATCCAGTCAGAGTCAGACCATCTGTACCTCCTCTCCATAAACATGAGCTCATATTGTTTTACTACAACCTGTTTCTGTCCCACTCCATCATACTCGTTTGAGCAAGTATTAGGGGTGGGACAAGATATATTTTCCACAAGACGAGACGAGACGACACACGAGATTGGATCTATGAGTACGAGACAAGACGAGATTTTAACATTATTTATAGTACATAAATGTCATGATCTGGTTTCCAATTTTGGCCTCACCCAGGGGTGTAACAGCACATGTATTCATGTCAGGCTGTTCCGGTATGGGACTTTCGTTGCAGTGCAGGGCTGTGAGCGAGTGAATTTGCTCCATTTGTGTGTGTTTACATTTGGCCACTACATGTGCAGCTACACAGCACGAGGGAACTCGTCTGTGATTGGAGCAGTGTTTCCCATGACTACATCACACCTAACCATGTGAATCCTTGCAAAACTGCAGTAGTCTCTCCACAATCCTCACTTTCGCCTTTCACTGACACGGAACCCCCCCATGCCCGCAACCTCTGTGTCCAGTGGTATTTTCAGACTCTGGGGACATTGTTTTTTCTGGCCAAAAATCTGAAGATTGAGCAAAACTTCATGCTGTTAGTGCTGCACTTTACTTTTTCAAAAGTAATACTTCAAAGATTTGTCGCTTATTTGAGAATATTTTATTTAACTTATTAGCATTACCAGGCAGCACTTTGCATTTATTTTATTTTCCTGTTTGTATAAGGTTAAAACAAATAGTTGGTTTAAAAAACACACAAATAAACAACAAGCAAATGGTTTTGCATTTTGCTCACATACTGTACCGAAAATGAACTGAGGTACATACTGAACTGTGATTTTTGTGTACAGTTACACCCCTAGCCTGATTTACTTGATTTACTTTATTTAATATTTTTGCTGTCATTGTAGCTCTGCTTTTTGAGAATACAGCTTCTCAGTAACTCAGTAGTACTTAACTCCATGGTTTCTTCAAATCCAGATGTAAAAACCTGGAAGAGAAATCTCACAAGATCATTTTTCTCATGAGTGCGCAGTCTTGTGGCAGTTTGGTCTCACACGATCTTGTCTCCTCCCTAGCAGGTTTTGATACTAAAAAAGTCCCATTGACAGGCCAGAAGTGAGCCTGTCCTGATGATCTGGAGCTGTATCTGTACAGGTGGAAGAGCACATAGACTAGTACACACATGGACCAACATGAACCTACTGCACCTCTGAGGATTACACACATATAACACACATGGGACACCATTTAATGTTGAAAATCATATAATTTTGTCTAAAGAAAGTGTTTTTATAATAATTGTGGTATTGGAATGAGTATTAAGTATGGAGTGTTTTCCTGTGTCTGTGTCTGTGTTTGTGTTTGTGTTTGTGTTTGTGTTTGTGTGGGTGAAAACAGGACTGGCACACATCTCTTCATAAAGATGAGCTCGTATTATTCTACCATGACCTATTTCTATCTCCATTCATAAAGTGCAGCCTGTTGCCTTCTGGGTACGTGAGTAAATGTTTGAGAGGAGAATCAGGTCTGAGCTGGTTCTGCTGTGGGGCTGAAGTTCACAATTATAGTATGGACTTTAAGCTCTGCTGGTGTGATGAAAGACTAAACCAGGGCTCTTGTGTGTAACTGTACAAATGCACACACACACGGGCTGTAAGGGACATGTTTATGGTGCTTCTGTATCTTTAGCTCATTCTCTGCTCACTATTGTTGTACTACTGCTGCACACACTCTCCTACTAAACATTTGCACATGCACATTGGAACTAGATCCTCATTTTTCTCAAGTATCAATATTAAAAAAAAGTCCCAATGACAGGACAGAAATGAAACTTTCCCGAATAACTTTAGAATGATGTTGAGCTGTATGAGAACAAGTATCAGAGCACATAGACTAGTACACACACGGACAAACATGAACCTACTGCACCTCTGAGGATCACACACATATAAGGAATAGAAGACTATTTAATGTTGAAAATCACATTCTATTGTCTAAAGAAAGAAAATCAGAATTTATATTGAGTCTATCAATTTCTTAATATCAAAATCATTATCAAATCAAATGTATTTTACTAAAAGAAATGCTTGTATTGTAGAAGCACACTTGTATTTGTAAATGCACACAGTTAACGTGCTGGCCGCTCTATTCCAAACAGGAACTGAGCAGGGGGTGAGCTCTGGTTGCAATTGACTTTTACTGGAAAACCGTGGCTCCTCTCTCTGTGACTGCTGTTGTCAGCAGTGTTGTGCAAGTTCACACTTCTCATGAACTAGTTCAAAGTTCAGCCAAAGATGTTAATTTTGTCTTCTTATATACTTTAACTTCTTGGGTTCTTTTTAAAGACAATGCAGTAAAGTGTATTTACCTTGTTGACATGTTTCGGCTGCTAGCTGCGAGCCATCTTCAGAACTGTCACCGGTGTTGGTGGTGACGTGTCGTATTGAACAAGTTCAAACGCTGGATCAAGGAGGCCATTGAAATCAGGAAACGAGGCACGGACAGCATTAACTGTGATGACGGCGCGTTCCTCCTTTCACACACCTGGGACACCCTCCTCCAGAGAACATCGGGCGGCAGGAGGTGTGGTCAGTCTGAGCCACCTGCCAGGTCCATCAGGCTGACCACGCCTACAGGAAGTAACAACAGCTGATACACAACACGTCAACACCAACAGCGGTGACAAATCTGAAGATGGCTCGCAGCAGCCGAAACATATCAACAAGGTAAATACACTTTACTGCATTGTCTTTAAAAAGAACCCAAGAAGTTAAAATAGTTCAAAGTTCAGTTCACATTTGTTCAAAGTGAATAGTTCACGTTCATAGTTCACAATTTAAATTTTGAACTAGTTCAAAGTTCAATTCATTTTATATTTAGATGAGATCTGTAAATAAAAGGCTGCATTGATTTTTCAAACTGACTTCTAGTTTACAACAACTTTATAAGATACACTGTTGGACAAGTTACTTTAAAACTGTGATGTGTTATTTATGACTTGTTCCTGTCATTTCAAAGTCATCTGTTACATTACAATATTACTGTGTTTAAAATGTAAAACATTACACAACTATTACAGCACTTTTGAGTTACTCTCACCAAAATAACTGAAGATGCTGAACCTTTGCACCATATATGGACTGAACCAGGACTAAACCAGGTCTAAACCAGGACTAAACCAGGACTGAACCAGGTCTAAATCAGGACTAAATCAGGACTGAACCAGGACTAAACCAGAACTGAACCAGGACTAAACCAGAACTGAACCAATAATAAACCAGGACTGAACCAGGACTAAACCAGGTCTAAACCAGAACTGAACCAGGTCTATACCAGGTCTAAACCAAGACTAAACCAGGACCAAATCAGGATTAATCCTGGACTAGAACTTGGAATCTAGGAAAGCCCCTGAGAAAACCCGCGAGCGCGATTGGGCGTCAGCTGCGTTTAGCTCCGTGGAGCGCGGACTTCTGCGTCGGTCCTTTCGCTCATGATCACGGTCTACGCGGGCGCACCACCGGCGTTTCACCGCTGCTGATATCGCGGTGATTTTAGCAAATATGTATGAAGAAAAATGAAAAACCCACCATTTCAATCCAGGTTAAGAAAGCATTGTGACGCGCGTTACTCACATTTGTACCGAGTAAAATATTACCACTTTTTTCCCTATAATGCCGAACATTACTGCGTTACAGCACAAAAAGCAACGCATTACAGTAATTCATTACTTTTATAACGCGTTACTCCCAGCACTGAGAAGATATTAACCATAACCACTATAGAGCCGCGCGTGGAGCAGCACGTCCTGTGTGTGTAAATTTCAGAAAATAGGATCCATCCTATTTTTTGACGCTCTACACGAGCGTAGAAACCGGAGCCACCTTCGCGTTGACACGCGGCTGTGGTTTCACGAGGTTAAGTGCGAGCAGATCGTCACTCGTCAGGTGAAAACAAATTCCGACGTTTAATTGAACCCCAACAGTGACGTACGTCGTTCATCACACATAATTTGAATAATTCACGTTCAAGTTCTTGATTTACAAAAGTGTTGCGTTCAGTTCAAAGTTCACTGAAAAATGAACGTGTTCAGTGAACGCGTTCTTTTGAACTCGTTCATGCACAACACTGGTTGTCAGGCTCCTCAAACCCTGGGGTTTTTCATTTCACTATTTTGTTCCTAAATCAAGACATGAACAATAATAACAGACCATACTTTTTTCCCTGAGGCGGGAGGGGGCGTGTACCTGCAGGGGGCGTGTACCTTTTACAGCCTCGCTCTGGATTTCTCTCTTTGGTTGCCATGATACACACGACTTGACTGTCAAACCCTTATTCCATTGGTTTATACAGTGAAATGACAAAAATGTGAAATTGCCATTTGAGTAGCTGCATGATGCCCCTGCGTGGCAATGGTCAGTAAAGCCCTCTGTGCCCTCTGTGTGCCCCACAGGCTGCAGACGTGTGAGTAAGGCTGCTCCTCAGGCTCAGATGGACTGGGACTACGACGGACCATCCATGAAGACCCCGGTGCCAGGGCCCCGCTCTCAGGTACTGCCCCCACCTCCACACCGCCTACACCAGGGCAGGACATCTGAGCAAAATGTAACCCTATCTGTGTTCTGTCTGTAGGCACTGCTCAAGCAACTGGGAGAGATCCAGGTAAGAGAGGATGGGAGGATTAAAGGAGGTATAAGTCATGTGACTTCAGCACACTGTAGAATCCCTGTAGTTTAACCTGAGCTGGAGCTGGGTCAGAGCTCTCAGGCAGGATGTCTGTGCAGATTTGTTGACCTGGTATGGTTCATATCTGTGTTATTATTGGACATATCCATTTGACACAAAAACTTGTGCAGAGTTTCTATCTCTTTTCTGTCAGCCATATCTTCATAAAGCGGTGCCATTATTCATGATTCTGATTTGGTTCTCCCTTGATTCGGGGAGGTGCCACCTGATTTGGGTCTTCATATGCAATGTGAGATACTCTCACAACTTTGAGCTTATAGTGTGCTGTCTTTTCACTGCAGGCTTTGCTCTTAGGGATTTAAAGTGTCATTCAGTTCTTCTCATGTCTGTGGTGTGTGCTTTTTGTCTCACGTTTAATAATGGCTGAAGACTGAAAGATCCTGTGGTGTGTGATCGCCTTCAGAGGTTGTTTTAATATAGTGTGCTTAAAGTGCATATGTCACTTCCCTTGACCATTTTGGTGAAGTTTTACATGGGCAGCAGATGTGACATAAGACATAATTCCATGACTGTTGCCTAGCGACCATCAGCGGTCGGTCATCCAGGTGTGAGACTGCTCTAACACTTTACTCACCTTGGCAACAGTAGCATAAGAAAGGATTAGGAGTGGATGCTCAAGTTTAGTTCAAAATAAGTTGTCTGGTCAGACGACACAACCAATATTCATCCAAACAACTTCATAAAAGAAACTAGTCCGTACACTTCTGTGTTAGAAAACTGTGGTGCTCATATCACCAGACTCCTGTAATCAAAGACCAAAACACGACTCATTTACACAATCATGATGTATGACAACACCTGCATTTTGTGTTCATATTGTCAGATAAATGTGTTTCTTATGTGTGAGTAGTCTGTGCATTTTGGATGTGGTTTTGTGGGCTGATGACATGAAAGTCTAGACCTAGACTTTGAACCTATTTAAGGCAGATTATTATATTTTATTACTTTTTTTTTTTTTTTCAATGTCAATGTCTTTTTAGACAGTGTTACAAATCTGTAAGATATGTTCGGTGTAACATGAGTTTAAAGCAACATCAGTTTAATTGTGACACATGATCAGTGACATCATTCTATTACAGTTCATTCACTTATTAGTTATTTATTGGAGCATAACCTTGTGATAATTAATGAAGTGTGCACTCATTTCTATTTTCTATTTTATTTTAAAATAATGCAGTGGGTGATAAAGTTGTGTAGGACTCTTCATGTTATACAGACGAGTGGTGAAATCTGCTATAAAACCCTATAAAACGACACAATGTTAGGAGCAAGTATCTTTATTTTGGATGTTTAAACACAGTGAACATGTGTGAGGTCGTACCACTAGACTTGGGCATATTATGTTTTTAATGAACAAAAAACAGGATGCCTTTCAAACTGTTATGTGTACTACTGTATGTATTATGGGACCTGCTTCAGTGTGAGTTCATATAATGAATCCGTGCACACGCAGACTTTGTGACACGATTATGAAATTGGTACTTTATTATGCTGACAGGATAGGTAAGATAATTAAACAGTTTTCTTGAGTGTAGAGTTTTAAAGTTTTCAAACATTCAACATTTTGGGCAAAAATGTCTAAAATGACCAGCTTCAGCTCCTCCAGCTTTGGCCACAAGCCTTTTAACTTTGAATGAACCCGTCAAAGTGCTAATAAACTGATAACGCTGTGACATACAAGACTCTTGTTATGGTCTATGCCCTTTACATAACCACAACAATGTTATCTTTACTTTCGGATATCACCAGTAATAAAGCTTTCTAATAAAATGATAAGGTTTTTAACCGTTTCTAATTAAAAGGGAACTAGGATTCATTCAAAGATTTCTAAGAATATTCTGACCATAACAAGTGATCCATGTTTTCTTGTTTTTTCTGTTCAACACCCATTTTGAACTCCACATGTATAATGCTCCAGTCATGTTAGAAAAACAGGAGGCTGTAGATAATGAACCTTTGCTCCTGGAGCTGTGCCCTCTGCAGTTTAAGTCCATATCAGTATGTAACAGGAGTTTGAATATGTTCTGTTCAACTGAGACAATACCAAGTCTTGGGTCATGTCATAGTCACCCGGAGTTGAATTGGGAGTGAACTCACCCAGAGTTGAATTTAGAATGATTCATGCATGTTTGAATAATCTTGAATTGCTTACTTTCAAGATGGCATCGGCTTCACACACATTCAGCTCATGGTTTGTCTCACTTTTGAGAAGAGCTTTTGCTCCATTAACAACACTGCGTTAAAACAAACAGCTTCAGAGTGAATAAGAATGGTGCAAACCCTTGTCCTTGTGGGATGCCTTGTGTGCAGGTGTGAGTAGGTGTGTGCAGGTGTGTGCAAGTGTGTAGTGTGAGATGTGTGTTGTGTGCAGATGTGTGGTGTGAGGTGTATGTTGTGTGCAGATGTTCAGAGTGTAGTTCCATGATCTCACACAGATTGTGTCTCCAGAACATCGACGCCATCAACTTCTTCTGTAACTACGAGGAGAGCCGCGGGAACTACCTGGTGGATGTGGATGGCAACCGCATGTTAGACGTGTACACCCAGATCTCCTCCATCCCCATCGGTAAACCTCCTCTGCACCACTCTGCTCCTCTGCTCTTCTGCTCTTCTGCTCCTCTGCTCCTCTGTACCACTCTGCTCCTCTGCTCTCTAGTCCTCTGCAGCCCTCCAGTTGAAGACCTTTCTGTTGTGTGTTTCAGGCTACAATCACCCGGCTCTGCACAAACTCATGGCCGACTCCAACAACCTGGTATGCCACCACACTGTCACCTCCTGCAACTGCTCTGAACCATGGCCCACAGCCACTCTGCACACTGCACACTGCACATGGCCACTGCACACTGCACACTGCACACTGCACACTGCACACACACCTAGTTTTTCACTAGGTGTGTGTGCAGTGTGCAGTGACTGGATCAGACTGAGCGTGTCACTGGTAGCACAGACAACAACAGCCTGTATAAAATCTGTTAGAGCAAATAGCCTCTGTTTGCCTCAATATCTTCACTAACATGTTTTGTAATCAAATGCAAGTTACAATTAGGCAAGAATTAGATTTTTTTTGGCTGGATGTTTTGAAACTGAAGAATTTCTGTGCATCCCGACTGTTCTTAGGATTTATTCTGCCAAATGCACAAAAAGACTTTATAGGAAGAGTCAAAGTATAAATGAGTTTGTGAAAATGTGTCACGCATGAGGCTGATCATGAGACTTGAGAACTCCACAAATGAGGGATTTCCTGCTGAACTAACACATGTTGATGAATGTTTACTGTCTCACACTGAATACATCAACATTACTGGTGCAGATGTGATGTGAGTTTTGCTGTTGTCCTCACAGAGCACATTCGTGAACCGGCCTGCTCTCGGCATCCTGCCTCCAGGAAACTTCCCCGATAAAGTCACTGAGAGCCTGCTGTCGGTCAGTCACACACACACGCATGCACACACACACACATGCACACACACATGCACACACGCACACACACATACACACACACATACACATCCCTCTGGTTGTGTTGTGGCAGGACTTGTGATGGTGTGTCTGTACACAGGTGGCCCCCAGTGGGATGACTCGGGTGCAGACCATGGCCTGTGGATCCTGCTCTAATGAGAACGCCTACAAAGCCATGTTCATCTGGTACAGGGTGAGAGAGGGGACAAAAGACTGCACCACACTAGTTTAGTGTTTTGTTTGTTTGTGTTAAGCAGTATTCCATTAATCCAATCATTTGACATCTTTGACCTTGAGATGGATGTCAGCACAGGTGACACTGTGAGTCATGGAGACTCAATCTGAAGGACTCTGCTCAAAAAAACCCTGAAAAAGACACATCCTTGCTGTTGCTTGTCTCCATGGAGACAGACAGGTGAAGTGAGGTGAAGTGCAGTTATATACCAAACTATGGAACATTTCAAGTAGAGATGCACCATTCCAGCTTTTTCAGTTCCTATACCGATATCGATACCTAATTTCAAGGTAAAGCAATAACATATTCAAGGACACCTGAAGGTGGCAAATCCTCTGCCAGAAAGTTACATACAGAACTAAATAAATAAAGACATAAATAAAAATCTATTTAAAACAACAATTAATTAAACAAAACATTCAATTAATGAATGAATATCAAATTAATAAATGACTAAAATAAATCTTTGCTTTATTCATGTGTTTGTTGACATCCCCTGGTGTGTTTTGTGCAGAATAAAGAGCGTGGTGGACCCAGCCCCAGCCCCACACAGGAGGACCTCACCTCCTGCATGATCAACCAGGTCAGTGCTCTGTGTGTGTGCCTCTAGAGCTCCTCAAATGTCCCATCCATAATACTGTCCCCTGTGTCCCCTTCACCCCACTATGTCCCTGTGTCCCCTCCCACCTCACTCTCCCCGTACGTCCCCTCCTCACCATGTCCTCTCTCTCCTCACCATGTCCTCTCTCTCCTCACCATGTCCTCTCTCTCCTCACCATGTCCTCCCTCTCCTCACCATGTCCCCTCCTCACTCTGTTTTCTTCCTCATCACGTCCCCTCCTCACTCTGTCCGTGTCCCCTGCAGAAACCGGGCTGTCCTGACCTCAGTATCCTGTCCTTTATGGGTGGTTTCCATGGGCGCACTCTGGGTATGTACCTCACATCTGTCCCCCTCTTCTGTGAGCAGTCTTGTGAAAAGGACTTTACAGACTCTAGTGATTATGAACTTGTTCTTAAAGTCCACTGACTTTCATGTTAGAAAACTTTTTTTGTCATTTGTACCAAAATGACTCCGCAACTCTGTCCAAGTCTGTGTGTATCACTGTGTGCTGTGTGCACTCCCTTTACACACATGACAGTGTGCACTCCCTTTACACACATGACAGTGTACACTCTCTGTACACATATGTGACAGTGTACACTCCCTTTACACACATGACAGTGTACATTCCCTTTACACACATGACAGTGTACACTCCCTTTACACACATAAGAGTGTACACTCTCTGTACACATATGTGACAGTGTACACTCCCTTTACACACATGACAGTGTACACTCTCTGTACACATATGTGACAGTGTACACTCCCTTTACACACATGACAGTGTACACTCTCTGTACACATATGTGACAGTGTACACTCCCTTTACACACATGACAGTGTACATTCCCTTTACACACATGACAGTGTACATTCCCTTTACACACATGACAGTGTGCACTCCCTTTACACACATGACAGTGTACACTCTCTGTACACATATGTGACAGTGTACATTCCCTTTACACACATGACAATGTGCACTCCCTTTACACACGACAGTGTACACTCTTTGTACACATATGTGACAGTGTACACTTCCTTTACACACATGTGACAGTGTGCACTCCCTTTACACACGTGTGACAGTGTGCGCTCTCTGTACACACGTGTGACAGTGTGCGCTCCCTGTACACACGTGTGACAGTGTGCGCTCCCTGTACACACGTGTGACAGTGTTCACTCTCTGTACACACGTGTGACAGTGTTCACTCTCTGTACACACATGTGACAGTGTTCACTCTCTGTACACACATGTGACAGTGTGCACTCTCTGTACACACATGTGACAGTGTGCTGCGTGCAGTGTCTGTACACACGTGTGACAGTGTGACAGTGTGCACTCTCTGTACACACGTGTGACAGTGTGCTGTGTGCAGTGTCTGTACACACGTGTGACAGTGTGCTGTGTGCAGTGTCTGTACACACGTGTGACAGTGTGCTGTGTGCAGTGTCTGTACACATGTGTGACAGTGTGCACTCTCTGTACACACATGTGACAGTGTGCTGTGTGCAGTGTCTGTACACACGTGTGACAGTGTGCTGTGTGCAGTGTCTGTACACACGTGTGACAGTGTGCTGTGTGCAGTGTCTGTACACACGTGTGACAGTGTTCTGTGTGCAGTGTCTGTACACACGTGTGACAGTGTGTCTGTGTGCAGTGTCTGTACACACGTGTGACCGTGTGCTGTGTGCAGTGTCTGTACACACGTGTGACCGTGTGCTGTGTGCAGTGTCTGTACACACGTGTGACCGTGTGCTGTGTGCAGTGTCTGTACACACGTGTGACAGTGTGCTGTGTGCAGTGTCTGTACACACGTGTGACAGTGTGCTGTGTGCAGTGTCTGTACACACGTGTGACAGTGTGCTGTGTGCAGGGTGTTTGGCCACCACTCACTCCAAAGCCATCCACAAACTGGACATCCCGTCTCTGGACTGGCCCATCGCGCCCTTCCCCAGACTGCAGTATCCTCTGGAGGAGTTCACTCGGGAGAACGCTGCAGAGGAGGCCCGCTGCCTCGAGGAGGTACTCTTTCTCTCTGTCTCTTTACTTTCTCTCTCTCTCTTTCTCTCTTTTTTATTCTCTCTCTCTTTCTTTCTTTTCTCTCCTTTCTCTCTCTTCCTCCCTTAATTTGATTTCAATTGAAACCCTAGAAGATTTTAGAAGATATTGAGTCTGTTCACATTCTATCCTGTGGGATTTGTGTCTTTTTTCTTGTAAATTAAAAGCTTTCATCTCTAATTTCGTATTATTTCATGCTCTAGACTCACACAGAAGCTCTTGACATTACGGCCCCACACCACATGTGTGAAAGCCCTGTGTGCACAGGCTGTATAGAAGTGGACATATCTTGCCTGATAGTCGCCCCTCTGTCTGTCACTGCTGCTGTCAGACTCATTTGGGGCTTATAATGTTCTTATTAACTCTCTGTACATGATCCTGGGTTTTTTTCTATTTTGTCCCTAAATCAAGATATGAACTTTAATAACAGACAAATCAGGCACTTCTGTCCCCGATGTCACTCCTGCTAGTGTTAGCAGCAGGTTTGATTGACAGCTATCAGGCCTTGGTGCTAAGCCCTTGTCTCCTGCCAGACCACTGGTTCAACATTGCTCCTGGTTGGCTCTTTGGTTTTGCACTCAGATTTCCAAATCTGAGCTCTGGTTACAGCAGTTTAGCCTCCAGACCTGCCAGCCTTGATTAGCTTTATTTGGCTGGACCTGAAACTGATGGGTGATGTCACACTTCTTCAGTTCACGTCTGTCATACAGTGTATACCTGTGTGTGCGCTGTGCCAGCTCTGTGTGCTGTGGTGCAGGTGGAGGACCTGATCGTGCGCTGGAGGCAGAAGGGCAAACCCGTAGCAGGAATTGTGGTGGAGCCCATCCAGGCGGAGGGAGGAGACAACCACGCCTCTCCAGACTTCTTCAAGAGCCTCCGGAACATCGCACGCAAGGTACAAAGCTTCAGCACAAGGTCGCCTTTTCACAGATCTGTCCTGCAATTTCCAATCTCTACTGAACTAAAGGTAAAAGGTAGCCATTAACTCGAAAACTACCACCTCATGACATCACAAGGTAGAACAGAGTATTCTGAGCTTTGGAGATGTAGATATCAACTGTTCCCATGGCAACATGGTAGCTGACTGCTTTTGTGGCTACCTGCCTCATACAATGAACAGTTTTTGAAATGTTAGGGGTTTTGAGTTTTTAACATCACATGTGATTTTAACCAACTAAGAAGTGCAGCACGTTCAAAGGCCACACAGAAGAGACTAAATGAATTGTTTTCCCATATCCAGGGAGACTGTGCAAGAGGACAGCTCAGGAGGTAGCTATGGGCATGTGAGATCCTACAGGCTTTTCACACCATATGTGACAGCAAATGTGGCAGAAAGACTCAGAGATCTTCTAGAGCAGGGGTCTCAGACTCGCGGCCCGGGGGCCAACTGCGGCCCGCGGAAGGATTTTTTGCGGCCCTCCACTTGATTCCAAAGAATAATGTCAGTGCGGCCCGTGGTAGATGTACGCACAATCCCACCCCCCTACCGCGGGCCGCACTGACAGATGAAGCTGCAATCGGTGCCCATGCAGATTCACAACAGATTATTAACGCAGTTTACGTCCCAAAACTCAATTTACAGCAGTTGTGAAGGAACGAGTCTAAGTGGATCTGTTAATACAAGTACACGTGCACATAAGGCATCACCGAAGAACCAAAACAAACCACACGTGGTGGTACATGTGTGCGCACTTCACTTTACGCTCCCACAACCACAGCATCAGAGCGCAGAGGAGGCGCTGACGCAATTCCCCTGTTCAGAAGTATGGGACCTTTATTGGAGGGGCTAATAAGAAATAAAAAGACATTGACAGTCTGTTTACCTGTTCAACACTCAGTGCGTAACTTGCTGGCAACTCGATGACCAAGCTCCACCTGTGCGTCGCCGAAATCCACGCGCACTCAGCGGCAAACACAGCTGTCCCATCAATATGCAAGCACCACAAAACTGCACTGATCTATTCCAGAGGCTTGGCGACATGTTAGCAAAAAGTACGAGGCAAAAACAAGCGTCTTCCATCCATGTTTGACATACGAGAAGCAGATACACTCCAGTGTGGTCCGCTTTCACACCGGCAAACGAACCAAAACTGGTCCGATTAACGAGCCTCTGTATCCCGGTAGAACAGCGATATCTCCAGTAACCAATACTGATGTTCCCTGTTAATACCGCGGGCGTCCTCATCTCAAATTATCACCACGAACTCATAAAACAGCAACGTAGAACTTTCTACAAACTCACCGCATCAGTTCTGAGTTCGGGTAACAGCAGCAGCCAACAGCGTTCAGCGTAGCGCGCAGCTCCTCAGGACGGCGCTGGAGTCTGGTCCTTGGTCTTCTGTCGTCCTACAAGCGCGTTGGTCAGATGGTCCGGAGGCTCTGTCCTCCATGTGCTGGTTCCAGACGGTGGCGAACAAGACCAGTGCGCAATGACTGGGTCTGAGCGGGTACGTTCCTCCGTCTGCGCGCTGAGGGGAAAGTGAGAATGCGCTGTGGACTACCTACAGGTCTGTGCTGCTCCTGTCCTTCGTGCTCAAGAACCGCAGCTGGTTCCGAGGTGGTGCAAAGCATCCGGACAGAACGTGAATCCAGTTTAGTTGGTGTCCGCATTTGGTTCTTCCCGGGAAAAGCGCTTTTCACTCCCCGCTCCACGTCATCTGAGCCCGGACAGAACCGGAGCTGCTCCCGCTGGTTCGGGACTCCGGTTTGGATCTAGTCCGACTGTATTTCTCACACTAGGCTAAAAGCAGGACATTTTTTAAAGGTGAATCAATTGAATGGGCGATTGCCTATTGCCATAAAATTATTTGATTAATTAAAGCCTAAAATAACAAATGCTGGTTCCTACATGATCACGGGGAACAAAGGGACCTCTGTGCAGGTCCTGAACAGAAGTACACACCCCATTTTTGACTCACTCTGGAGCCACACGTTCGCACGTTCTTGCTCTGATCTTCGTGTATTACATTCTCTGTATTGGCCATTGTTGGTAAAATATTTCGAAAATGAATCGCGGCTGCGTCTGGACAACAATCTGTTACTGCGCTGGAGTCGTACAGCGTCATTACAGGCAGGAGACGCGTTTCTCCCATGATGCATCTAGAATAGTTCGTTTAGACCTGCTGTCTGTGGTTTGGACCCGGGTTCGCGTTCACACCAGAAGAACCGCACCAAAGTTGGTCATTTGGTGCGGATTCAAGCGAACCGAGACCACCTCTTTTTTGAAGTCTCGGCCCACTTGAGTTGGTCCTGGTCAGAGTCCGATTGACGCTTTCACACCAACGCAAACGAACCGAGCTAACCACTTCTGGTTCGAATGGATCGTTTGGTGTGCACCAAATACTGTCGGTGTGAAAGCACCTAATACAGGTCAAGGCTCACTGATGAGCATCTTCAATCTATCCTGAGGATCTCATATGCTTCCTCCTGCAAGCCAAATATCTCTCAGCTGTACAAGATGAAGCGTAGCCAGGTTTCAACCAGCAAGGAGTAGGTAAAAGAAGAAGAGTAGACGCATTAGTTTAAACTTACGTTCTGAATACATTTTCATGTTCTGAACTGTTATTAAAGATTAAGAAAGTGTGTTGCGTGTTGTTCTTTCTCTCTCCTCTTTTCCCGTGCAACTGCTATTTATCGAATACTCAATGCGGCCCAGCCTCACTCAGACTTTATCTAATGTGGCCCCCAGGTAATTTGAGTTTGAGACCCCTGTTCTAGAGGAAATACTTTGAGAGAATGAACCATTGCATCATCAACCGAAACACCAGAGCAGAATAAGAATGAGACTTTTCCTGTCGTGTTCTCCTGGTTCCCCCCAGACGCTGCTGTGATGCCCAGGCTGCAGGACATATATAATGAATGAGATATATGTGATATATAATGAAGGGTGATTCGAATGTGTGAATGAATCAAAACATAGGTTTGTTTTTGAGGAGGTAACAGCATTAGAACATGGCTTAAAGATCACGAGAGTCTGTGTAATAACAGGCCTTTGAAATGTGTGCTTGTTGTGTCTGCTCTAGCATGGCTGTGCGTTCCACGTGGATGAGGTGCAGACTGGAGGAGGCTGCACAGGGAAGTTCTGGGCTCACGAGCACTGGGGCCTGGACGACCCCGCGGACATCGTGTCCTTCAGCAAGAAGATGCTGACTGGAGGATACTATCACAAGGACGAGCTGCAGGCTGACAAGGTGACTCCACTTTCCTCTGTCCCCCTCTGTCTCCTCCAGTAAAATGATACATGATACTCACAGTAGACTTGGACAGACTGGAGCCTGCACTGACAGGAGAACCTGTTCTATAGTTGTATGTTAAAAATATGTGAACACTACTAACATTAGATCACTTTGGTGCACTCAAAATGATAGAAGATCCCTCTCAGTCTGAGCTCATGCAGTCTGGGAAGAGATGTATCATTTCCTTTTGTAAACACAGCAGGTATACTCACTATTTTAAATCTCACACACAGAGGTGGTCATGTTCCTTCAGATCAGGCTGGGAACATGAGCTCCCCAGCTGCATAAGAACAAGACTAGTAGAAGCACAGGTGGACAGCCCTGGACTCATGATGTGTGCATGATGTGTGCTGTTCTCAGGGTTACCGGATCTTCAACACGTGGATGGGAGACCCGTCTAAGAACCTGTTCCTGATCGAGGTCCTGAACGTGATCCGCAGAGAGAACCTCCTGGAGGAGGTGAGGAGGTCTGGCAAGGCTCTGCTCCAGGGGCTCTACGCTCTACAGGTACTCTAGCATATATACTCCACTTTATATGCTCTCCTCTAGTGTCAGTGTTTGATGCTTGCTTTTTTGTTTTATGTTAAACAGCTAAAATATTTGCTTTGGATCAGTATAATCCGTGTATCATTCGTTCATTCGTTTTTCAATATAAAACCAAAAATAAGAAAATGAAAAAACAACAGTTTTCTTTGCTATTTGTCTCCAAAACCAAAATGAAAAAACGGATAACGATTCGTTTTTTCAGTTTTCGATTTTGTGTTTAAATGAAAAATGGAAAAAACGGATAACGGCCGTTTCCCGTTTACGTGACTTCCATGACTGCGATGCCAAACTTTTGCACCGGGTACGGACTGAACTAGGACTGATCCAGGTCCGAGACCGGACCGGAACTAGAACGGGACCAGAGCGGGACTAGAGCGGGACCAGACCAGGACCAGAGCGGGACTGGGGCGGACTCCGAGCTTTGACTCTGAGCCTCCACGGGGTCCAAGCCTCAGCTTCGAGCTCCGGCCCTGCCGTGGGTTCTGAGCCTGCGATCTGGTCTCGGTCTTGTCTCGGTCTTGTCTCTGTTTCAGGCCCGCTCTGGTCCCGGTCTGGTCCCAGTCTCAGTAGCGCTCTGGTGGTCCCGGTCTGGTCCCGGACCTGGTCCATTTGAACCAAAAGCTCTTAGTTCGGTTCGTTTTCGTTGGTGTGAAATCGTCAGTTGGATGCTTTGCACCACCTCGGAACCAGCCGCGGTTCTTGAGCGCGGAGGACTGGAGCAGCTCGTCCGGACCTGTAGTCCACAGCACATTCTCACTTTCCCCGCACGGAACCAGTGCGGAGACGATGACACGGAACCGCTCGGACCGCTTGTCTCGGACTCAGTTCCGCTCTGATCCCGCTCTGGTCCTGGTGTGATCCCGGTCTCAGTCCCGCTCTGGTCCCGGTCTGGTCCCGGTGTGGTCCCGGTCTCAGTCCCGCTCTGGTCCCGGTCTGGTCTCGAACCTGGATCAGTCCTGGTTCAGTCCGTACGCGGTGCAAAAGTCCAGCATCGCAGTAACGGAAGTCACATAAACGGCCGTTATCCGTTTTTTCCATTCTTCATTTAAACACAAAATCGAAAACTGAAAAAACGAATCATTATCCGTTTTTTCATTTTGGTTTTGGAGACAAATAACGAAGAAAACTGTTGTTTTTTCGTTTTCTTATTTTTGGTTTTATATTGAAAAACGAATGAACGAATGATACACGGATTCAGTATAAATGATGTGACTGTGTGGAGAGTCTGCCACCTGCTTGTCTCTATATGGCATTAAACATGTATCTTGTGTTTATCCGTGGTATTTTTTACCTTAAATATACATTCTCACTGTGAGCAGGGTCGCCTCTCCACAGATCTGACCTGTAACCTTGCATGATGTTGACACCAGCTTGTCTCCATGAGTCTAGAGTTGACAGTTTATAGTGAGTGTTTTCTTTTCGAGTGTGTGCTGCTCGTGTGTTGGTTATAAATGGCTGTGCAGGGCCTCTGTGGTTTCTCCTCTATATTTGTAAATGTAATCCAGCACAACATGCTCACGTCTGACCTGCTTTACTGTTCATATCTCTCTCCACACAAAACCAACTGGATTAGTGTTCTCAAAGAAATGATTAAAGACAGCAGCCAATGCCTTATGTGAATCTCAACCAAACTCGTTATTCTGGATATTGTCTTTAAAAGCCTCGCCCATACATTTGTACCGGCCCATTTCGAGAAAGGTGACTCTTCCTCTTTAATTTCAAAATCATATAAAATTTGCATTTTGTTTTATCACATCTGACAAAAGACTGAAATCTGAACGGCTAAACTCGTCCAAGAGTCCCAGCCCAGGCATTCAACAACAGGTTTACAGAGGTCGAAAATACAGTTTTAGAAGCTTTTACAAAGAATAAGGCTCCATGGAGACACAGGGAGGGCATCTGTACTACTGTCCTCTCCTGACTGTGCTTGTGTCTCCAGGAGCAGTACCCAGGCCTGCTGAGTCGTGCCCGGGGACAGGGGACGTTCTGTGCTGTGGACATCTGTGATGACCCCACCAGGAGCAAGATCCTGCTCCAGGCCCGCGACAAAGGTACTGCCCCTCGGTGTACTATTACTGTGTACTACAACTACTATTACTGTGTACTCCTTCTCAAAGCCTGCGACAAAGGTACTGCTCCTCTGTGTACTATTACTGTGTATTACAACTACTATTACTGTGTACTCCTACTCAAAGGTACTGCTCCTCTGTGTGCTATTACTGTGTACTGCTACTATTCTGTGTACTCGTACTCAAGGCCAGTGACAAAGGTACTGTCCCTTTAAAACCCTGATAAAAACACATTTCCCTTTAATCTGGGTACCTTGTGGTTAGAAGGAGTCTCCTGCTCCTCTATGCTCGTATACGTGCTCATGTAGTTTTGGACTGGGTACCTCGTGGTTGGAGGGCGTGTGCTGGTGCCTGTGCTCTGGTGGTGACCTGGATGTGCTCGGAGGTCAGGGGCACGCCTCAGGATCTGTGTTCATTTGCCTGATATAAAGTGTTTCTGCTGAGGAGGTGTACAGTGTCGGATGTGTCAGATGTGTCGCACAGATAACACACTGCCCACGACACCACGGCCCATCTCAGCTGCTCTGACTCTCTCTCTTTAAAGTGTGTTGTACTTTTTCACTTTAAACACAGAACTGAAGTTGTGTTTTGCTTCAGTCACATGTTTAAGGAATCCTGCTCACTTAAAGTGGAACTAAATAAGATATTTGAAGATTTGGTATTTTAAAGTCAAAGGCCTCCATCAGTCAAGTGTACAGAAGACAAACTGCAGAATAGACACGTTACAAAGAGCATGCAGAGGGACTTTTGGTTTTTCACTGTAAAGGGTGAAGTATAGTTCTGTGTCGACTCTACACGCACTGCCGCCATTTCTTTGTTGCCATCATTTTTGATTTATGGATCTGCGCCGAGGTCCATACGCCGCGAAGTAATTCACTGCCAAAACACTAGAGGGCTAGGATATATGTCCAGTCATATATACAGTCTGCGTGTACAACCTGCAGACGTATAATCTCTGAAAAGTTTAACATGAACCATCTCCAACATGACAGAAACACAGAACAGGCTCACCATCAGCAGCACACCGCAAGGAGCAAGCTGTTTTTTGAGCGCTTAGTTTATTCAAATTAGCCATGTGGTTTTAAGTTTCGTTTCTGTAAAACGTAAACAAATATGCACAAATCTGCATTGAACACATTATTATACTGAAGGTATATTGAAAGAAAGGAAAGCCGAGAACAGGAAATGTCTGTAGTGCGGTGGTACAGACAACTAGTCACAGCCCTTATTGTCTGCGTTGCTTCCTCTGCTGTCTGCGTTGTTTCAACGTGTAGTTAGAACATTTCGGAGGTGGATGTCTGTCAACACAGACGCTCTGTGTAGGGGGTTCATGGTTTCTAAGAAGTGAAACCGGCTGATGAATCAGGCTAGAAGAGTGCAGCAGTGAGTCTTGATTGTCTGTGTCTGTGTAAATGTGTATTTGTTGACATTGCAGGCACATCATAAAAGTATTATAATAATACAGACAAATATTAGTATTGTGATTCTAATTAAACCTAAACAGCCCCGTCTCTACAGACCAGGAACAGAGCACAGTCCCATGTGTGCAGTGGTGCCCCCTATGGGCTGAAGTGAGTGCTGTGCTCGTCGCTCTGTCTCTAACTTAAACATGCTAGATTTAATATCGACTAGTATGTGATTTTCAATACTTTTGACAGCCCTGCTCTCTGTGTGTGTGTGTGTGTGTGTGTGTGTGTGTGTGTGTGTGTGTGTGTGTGTGTGTGTGTGTGTGTGTGTACGTACAGGAGTCCTGCTGGGTGGCTGTGGAGACCGTTCCATCCGTTTCCGCCCCGCCCTCATCTTCAAGGAGTACCATGTGGCCCTGTTCCTCAACATCTTCAATGACATCCTGGCTCAGCTCAAGTAGAACCACCAGGAACCACCAGGAACCCAACCAACCCGACTGCCTTCAGACCTGTCTACAGCACAAGAACCTCCAAACACTCACACACAGGGGGCGCTGGAGAGAGGCTGGAATGCACTTTTGAAGTAATAGCACATATGAACAAATTAAAGGTCGTATATTATGCTAGCTACAATCTGGTTTAGCTTTAGTTATAAAGTAGCTGCTGTCAAGTCCCTGCGCCCTCTGCTGGCCACTGTAGCATTGTATGTGATCAGAAATCAGCACTGCATTATACAAGTACTATACGATGTTTAAATTGGTAACACGTCAAATACCAACGTTAATAAGTATGAAGAGTTGTAGCCAAATAATGCGTGATATAAAACCTTTAATCGAGGTCGACAATAGAGAAAAAAGATCCAATTTAAAGCCAGAGTTTCTCAGTGAAATGCCCGACCAGACCATAGACTGTTTATAGAAATGGACAGAGCTAAACCGCTAGCCACGGTTTTCCAAACAGGAAGTGAACACAGGTGCACTTCGGCTCCACTGACTCTGGTTATGATTCACTTTTTTATTGAAACAAAAAATGCTGCTGTCAGAGTCATCATTTTGGTCTTAAAATATGTGTTTTAACAGTTGTCCTGTCGATCTGAGCTACCCGTCGATTTGAGCTACTTAATGCTACTGCACGTGCACAGTACCACCAAGCACCGTCGATTTGAGCTCCCGAGGCAGAAGTGGAGTAACAAGTCACATTTTAAAAGTGTTTTGGTTTTATTGTGTGTTTGTTCAGTTAAACATCGACATGTGCGTGTTCAATTTGCGGCAGAAAACCTAAGTTAGATGATTGAACAGTTTGGATTTAATATTTGATTTTATCATTATCATTTTCATTAAATTATGTTTTATTTTGTTTCCATGAGTACAAAACGTTGTATCTTTGTTTAGAAAGGTGCTGTATAAATAAAATATCACTATATTATAATAGCAAATTCACATTGTAACCTGTGATATTATTGTGAAATATGATATTATCACTATTCATATAAAGATTTCAGTGGTTCTTTCTCTTATTTAATGAGCTACCTCAACCCAAATCCATCTAAATGAGTGAATAATATTGATTCTACAGTGGGAGCATTATTCGATGGATAAATTGAATACGACCAAATGAACCATGCACATGTATATAAAACAGTTGAAATTTGACATAACTAAGGTGTAAAGTGTGATCAGCGTGTGCAAATAACATCAAACTCACGTCTCTAATCCAAAGAAATCTGTATCAGACTGGAGAGGTTAGGGTTTGGCTTTATTTGATCTCTACAACTGTAAACGAAAAAAAAAAAGGTCGCTTATTTCGACAGGGCAGAGTGAACCGATAGACGTCACTGTCGATTTAGACTGCTGGAGCTTATTTTGACAAGGCAGCTCATTTCGACAGGACACTGTCTCTACATGATCCTGGGATTTCACTATTTTGTCCCTAAAAAAAGATATGAACAGTAATAACAGACCAATCAGCTCCGCTATAACTTCAGGCCTGAGTGAGCTTCATTTGACTGGAGCCATATGCTGTGTGTACTTCACACTCACTGAGTCCACTTGTTTATACAGTCTATGGTCCAGACCCTGTCCAATTTTCAGTACTTGTAAGTGAGTGAAATGTGACCAAACACAGCAGAAACATGATGTGGAATAGGTCAATATATGTTTGATAATAACCTGTAAGACTTGCTTTGTCCAGAATGTTCCACAGTATGGCATTAGACCTCCCTATCAGTAACTTTTTTTTTATTGCAGAAAGGGACCTTGAAAAACATATTGTAGCTCTGAGCGAGGCCGCCTCTCCACAAATCAGACCTGGAGTCAGTTTCCTTGGAGATAGACAAGTTTAATCAATCAATCAACAACTTTACCTTTACCAAACCTTAGCGAGGAATCAAACACAGTCCCAAGTACTTCTAAGAGTCCACCATTTCTACTGCTTCCCCATGGATGGAGCTGGTTATTGGGCTGTGGACTTTTTTCCACAAGTCCACAACCAGTTTTTTGGTTTTAGCTCCATTTAGATCCAGGTTATCATTATCACAGCATTAATGAAAGCAGGTAGAGCTCGGCCGTGGTGTGAGTTTACTCCCTGCAGGAGAGAGAGGAGGACAATATCATCTGAGAACTTCATCATGTAGCTGCCCTCATATGCGGACCTACAGCTGTGTGTATACAGAAATTAAAGCAGTGGAGACAAAACACAACCCTGGGAGACACCAATATTTGTTGAGTTTAGCACTGTGAAACATTCCAGACAAAGCAACATCATCTCCATGGAGACAAGTAAAGTAGATAAACGTAGTTCAAATGTCTACGATGTTTACAGTGAAGAGCAATACGTTTGTGATGAAGAGGAGGAGAGAATGCAGGTGAAGGTGTGAAAGAAAGCAGAAGTGAAATGACACACTGTGGCTTTAAATTGGAATCTTCTGGTAATGTTTAAACTGGGATATCTTTGCCATAACATTTGAAACACTGAACCGTCCGCCCCATAAACCACTACGCCCTTTATGCTCGCTAATATATTAACTCTGAAGAGGAGAGAGCTGCTAATCTTCTTTTTTATTTTTTTACTCTTATTGTTATTTTTTTAACCTGGATTCTGAAAAGCGCACAATAAATCAGGGTTGAAATGTCAAACTAACTGATGTCCCTACTCTTTATAATCCAGTCCAGGTTCAGACGAGCACAATCGCCACGGCAACACCACACGTCCCATAATGCTAATGGAATCATATAGAGTAAGAACAACAATATATGATGAATACAGTAGTTTAGTTGGACTTTTTTGTGCCATATTTGGTTGGTAATCCCTCCCGTTTTGCGTCCTGCATGGATGAAGCTGTACAGTTGTAATAGGTATTTGATAAGAACTGACCCTGTAGCCCTGTGGTGGACACGTATCCAGCGTCTGTCGGGGGATTTTTGTATGAAGTAACACTATAGGAGACAGTGGTGAATGTCTTATCCACGTACTTGTACTTGTACTTGTACTTTTTAGCGTCTGTGAAGGCCTATGTTTAGTCCTGTTTCTGTTGTATTGGGAAATGAAGCCCGGGGGAAGAGGCCGTGTGCGTGTGGGATGAGTTTAAAGTGCATGTGACTTTGACCGTTCTCTCATTTGCACTTCATTTGTTGGGATAATACTGATTGTAAATATAAATAATAGTTTTACACCAATCAAGACGCAATTGATGAAGAAAAGTTGAAAAATACTTTGGAAAATTACAGGAAGTAGTTCTAAATACACTGGTGACATTGTACATAATCCATTAAATTACTTAAAGTGAGTAACGTAATCTGAATACTTTGGATTACTTGCTTTGCTGTAGAGAAACAAAGACTAGGATAACTTCACGTAAGATGTTTTGTCTGCTAAAAGAAAATAAAAAGCCCAGACTTTACTGAACCTTATTGAAAATATTATTGATAGAAGAAGAGACACGTCCACGCAGCATGATTTAGTCCTGTTAAATCCTGTTTTAGTCCTGGTTTAGATCTAGTTTAGACCTGGTTCAGTCCTGGTTTGTATCTAGTTTAGACCTGTTTTAGTCCTGGTTTTAGTCCTGTTTTAGACCTGGTTTTAGTCCTGATTTAGATCTGGTTTAGACCTGGTTTTAGTCCTGATTTAGACCTGGTTTTAGTCCTGGTTTAGATTTAGTTTAGACCTGGTTTTATTCCTCGTTTAGACCTGGGTTCAGTCCTGGTTCAATCCTGAATTAGTCCTGGTTTAGACTGCCATGTAATCCCATTTATTTCAACAAAGTAACTGTAATCCAATTACCACTCACAGTAACTGTAACCGAATACAGTTACTCATAATTTGTACTCTGATTACGTAACTCTGGTACATGTAATCTGTTACTTCCAACACTAGTTGCTAGTGTGATGTCATTCAGGATGTGAAATGAACCAACCTGAGGAAAAATGTGTACATTTTGTTTTTCTTCTTTTGCAAAATGTGAAATACAATGATTTTGATTTTGACTGTGTTTTAGTGAAATGAGTCGTCCAAGCTGTCATAGACACTTTAAAGTTCAGATGGAGGGCAGTGAGGGCTTTTAAGGACAAATGTCAAACTCAAAATGTCAATGTTTAAATTGGTGTATGGTTAATTTATCTGCAAGAACTGGCACCAAGTTCAAGCATTGTTTTCTCTGGCAGTACAAAAAAACAAGTTCTCAAATATGTCATGAATTAAAGGTGCATTATGTAAATTTTAGATCGAGGGTCACCGTTCTGCCTGGAATGTTCCACCATATGACATTAAACAGCTAAACATTACGTTTAATATATTACAGATGCTTTTAAAGCTCAAAAATCCCTAGAAAAACAGACATGACTGAGTGTGAGCGGGGTTGCCTCTCCACAGATCTGACTTCCTACTTTGGCTGCAATGTTTCATAGTTTGGTATTAAGCCTTTCTATCTTCATGGAGACCACACCAGACCAAGTTACAGGTCAGATCTGTGGAGAGGCGACCCCTCTCCCAGTCAGAACGTCTGTTTTTCTCTGTCAATTTTCAGCTCTAAAACCAGCTGTAATTGAATCAAAGTAAAGTCGAGCTGTTTAATGTCACACTGTGGAACATTCTAAGCACAGCAGTGATATATCCATAGGAACAAGTTGGTGACGGAGCCTCAATCAAAAAGTGACCCCTTTAAGCCACAGAATGATTTCGGTTCAATTATGAGCTTTGAACATTTGAAGTAAAAGGACTAAATTCACACATTTGTCTCATTTGTTTGGAGAGATCTTTTCTAAACCTTGTGCCCTCCATCTGGTCCTCTGAGCCCAGCCCGCGCCGCTCTTCCCCCAGCCACAGCACACGTCCCTGTGTGTACGTCCCATGGTGTCCGCCCGCCACTCCGTGGATGCTCCCTGTTCTCATGCAGACCATATCTTAGTGTGCCCGCTGCCCCAGTCTGTGCCCGCCCTGTTGCCCACAAATGTGAACTTTCCCCGGAGCACCTGTAGAAGCTGCTGTCTGCATGTTCTGTTCTGTTCCATGACGCCACATATCAGTTGCACACTTTGTGTCTATGCTTCAATGTTCTTCAATTAATTACTCAATAAATGAATAATTTTGTATACAGAGCTGTGTGTGTGTGGATCTTTTTGGAAAACTCTGAAGGTAACACATTCTGCTCAACTGTTTTTAGGTTGTGTTTTGAAGGTGCTCTGTGTCACTTATTTTTTTTGGAGGTTTGCTACTTTCTAGTATCCATGGAGATGCTCTTGTTTTGCCAGTACTGTTCCACAACATGGCATTAAATGTATCTATGGAGACAATCAAGAGCCCAAGTTTCAGGTCAGATTTCTAGAGACAAGCCCACTCAGTGAAGTTTTTGAAGGTACTTTTGAGCAATACAAACGTAAATATAATGATAGAATTTAATGTCATAGTGCAGAACCTTGTAGGCAAAGCAATACAGTTTCCATGGAGACAAGAATAAAGCTACATACTGATACTTTAAGGCAAGGCAAGGCAAGTTTATTTGTACAGCACAATTCGTACACAAAGTAATTCAAAGTGTTTTACAGAATAAGAAATACATTAAAATCATAATAAAAACTAATCAAAACATAAATAATCATAAAGATTCAAATTAAAAAAGAGAGACATTGGAGAGAAGAGTGTGGAATGAAAACCTTTTAGTTATATGCACAGTCAAACAGAAGTGTTTTGAGTCTGCAAAACCTGACATGGCCAAAAATGACATTTTTCGTCAGGACCCCCTGTCGTTTCGGCTCAAATTTGAGCACTACAGTCCTCTGCGCGTCACTGTTTGATCTCGAGCTTGTCAGGGGACAAAAATTCAGCGGCAAATGTAAATACATCACATAATTTTTAAAATATAAATACTTCATATAAATATAATTTTTTTAATTTAAAAAATCAACAAAATACAAGATGCCGACATGTTTTACCAAACATTTTTTTAAAAAGTAGGCCATGACAAGGATTGCCTCATAGGGCTAGTTCCAGTGTTGTGTAAGTTCACACTTTTCATGAACTAGTTCAAAGTTCAGTTCACACTTGTTCAAAATGAATAGTTCACGTTTATAGTTCACAATTTTAATTTTGAACTAGTTCAAAGTTCAGTTCATTTTATATTTAGGTGAGATCTGTAAATGAAAGGCTGCATTTATTTTAGACTAAACCAGGTCTAAATCAGGACTGAACCAGGTCTAAACCAGAACTGAACCAGGACTAAACCAGGTCTAAACCAGGAATAAACCAAGACTAAACCAGGACTGAACCAGAATTGAACCAGGTCTAAACCAGGACTGAACCAGGACTAAACCAGGTCTAAACCAGGAATAAACCAAGACTAAACCAGGTCTAAACCAGGACTGAACCAGGACTGAACCAGGACTAAACCAGAACTAAACCAGGTCTAAACCAGAACTGAACCAGGACTAAACCAGGACTAAACCAAGACTAAACCAGGACCAAACCAGGACTAATCCTGGACTAGAACTTGGAATCTAGGACCGCCCCTGAGAGAACCCCGAGTGCGATCGGGCGTCAGCTGCGTATAGCTCAGTGGAGCGCGGACTTCTGCGTCGGTCCTTTCGCTCAGGATCACGGTCTACGCGGGCGCACCTCCGGCGTTTCACCGCTGCTGATATCGCGGTGATTTTAGCAAATTTGTATGAAGAAAAACGAAAAACCCACCATTTCAATCCAGGTTAAAAAGGCATTGTGACGCGCGTTACTGACATATGTACCAAGTAAAATAATACGTGCGCGGAGCAGCACGTCCTGTGCGTGTAGATTTCAGAAAATAGGATCCATCCTATTTTTTGACGCTCTACACGAGTGTAGGCGCGTATCCCCGTCAAAATCCACAGAGAGCATGTATCTATTGTTGTATTTGTGCATTTACCATCAGCACATTGTGCTCCCTGGGCAGTTGTGTATCATGTGAAAGAGCCCAGATCCACATAGACTGTTAATTAGTGCTTCGAAATTAAATTTTGAAATCCTTGCGTTTGCCGTGGTCAGCCTGTACAGAAGGTAAATACAAGCAGCTAAACGCGCCCAGTCAAGTTTGATTGACTTCCCATTGAGAGACACAAGAGCCCGTACATTCCGTTAAAGCTGCCAGGGGAGTCGCCTTCGCGTTGACACGCGGCTGTGGTTTCGCGAGGTGAAGTGCGAGCAGATCGTCACTCGTCAGGTGAAAACAAATTCCGACGTTTAACTGAACCCCAACAGTGACGTACGTCGTTCATCATACATAATTTGAACAAATTCACGTTCAAGTTCTTGATTTACAAAAGTGTTGCGTTCAGTTCAAAGTTCACTGAAAAATGAACGTGTTCAATGAACGCGTTCTTTTGAACTCGTTCATGCTCAACACTGGCTAGTTCACATGATGAGGGGCAGAGGGGCTGGAGGGCTACTGAAAGGGGTGTTGTGGACCAGAGTCGGGTCGCGGGTCTTAGGTTGATGACACCTGGTTTATGTGCTGTTTTTCCAGGACCTTTTTGTAACTTTGTTTGTTCTGCTCTCAGTGCTTCTTGGATCTCCTGTCTCAGCTCACCTGGTTGTCTTGTGGCTCGTGCTCCTGTGCTTCCTACCTGCTTCACCACACCCCTCTGCCTAATTTAATTTTTTCTTAATGACAACAGAATGTAACATTCAACAAAATACAATAATCAACATTTAACAAATTACAATAATCAACATAAAAACACCCACAACAAATTAAAAAAAAAAACCCAAAAAACAAACAAACAAAAAATAAAACTTCATTTCCCCCCGACCACGCAAACCGACACAAATTTGGTGAAATAAAACAAAAGTAATGTGGTAGTGCAACATAAACCCACCACTATGCCCCCTTACATTGATATATTTTGGCCAATTTAGAATTGAAATTCCTTTTTTTTTTTTTTTTTTATTCTCTCCCACTTTTAAATAAACATTTTTAGTCCCTATACTCAATCTAATATTATTTTCAACAGACAATATTTGATATTTGAATATTTGAACACAGCGCATAACATAACAACTATCAATAACCAAATGTGCCATAATCTGCTGTACCTGATTTTTGTCTTAAAAACGTAAAAATCTGAATTGGTTCATTTTAAACAGTTTGCAGAGGTCTAAAGTTCTTCCTCATTTACCTTGTGCATTCAGACCATCTTAAGTATTCAACATGATGCGTTAACAAGCTCTTTTCACAACTTTCAGAGACAAAGTGACAATAACTAGCATCCTAAGCGCACACTTCCTGATTTTCTGACAATATTACGCTTAACAATTATATGCAGACAGTACCCAGCTGACCTACTAGTCTAAATGGGACCATTAAAATTTGTATCCATTTTGTTTTCAGATTGTCTAAAATCTCTTGAGCTGTGTTTGTGCATTGTGTCACCATGGTAACATCACCTGCAGTAAAATGTCAGTGGTCTGATGCACTCCAATACTTCTTTTAGTAGCCCAAATAGAGCCTAGGAAACCACTCCCTTCTGCTCTCCTGTTTGAAAAGAACTGTCTGGAATTCTTCACATTGCAATGCTTTAAGTCACTTGAAGACAAAAGAAGAAAAATGCTCTAACCTTTTCGTGGATACCTCATTGCACTGCTTGGAATGTGCCACAGTATGACATTAAACAGCTCTACCTGACAGTTATTCAATTACAGGTGGTTTTATTGCTCAAAATACCTAGAAAAACAGGCATTCTGACTGTGAGCGGGTTTGCATCTCCGCAGATTTGACCTGTAATTTGGTCTGGTTTGGTCTAGAGTGCTGCACCTCCAAGCCCGTCCCAACAGTAAGTCCTGGTTCAGTTTTGGTTTAGTCCTGTTTTAGTCCTGTTGGTTTTACTCAGTAATTTTGACAGTAAAGTTGTGTCTGTGAATTTGTATTCGTACTGAAGAAAGCATAACAGTTTAATTTCAATTTCGTGATTGTAATTCTTAGAGAAAAATCCCTCACATTGTCTAACTTGTCCTAATAAATCTCACAATTTGCAAGTAAGACGTGTGCGAGATTTTTCTCGATGTTCTTGGGCTGCTCCCTCTCCTCCAACGCACCCGTCTCAAATAAATGATGTGTAAAGTTCTCATTCTTTTATGATTGTACTTCTTGAAGTTGTAACTTTTCAATTTGTATTCTGATGGATACTTCAGTTGGAATGCTTTTAATCTGTGTGTGATTTATCATGGGTCCGGGAGTGTGCAGGTTTAATTTTGATATAATCACAGGTTAACAGGCGGGTGCGGTGCGGTGCTGAACTGCTTGAGTGTGGCCCTCCAAAAATGGACTCGTGCAGTACTCGGGTTTGGTCTCCATGGAGATAGAAAGGTTTAATACCCTACTGTGAAACTTTCCAGTCAAACTAATAACATCTCTATGGAGAAAATAATTTGACGGACGCCAGAAAGTTACGCAATGCGTCTTTAAGGCTCTGTAAAAGAATGAGGACTGTCCAAAAGAGGTTCTGCTGTAGCTGTCTCAAACATGCACTGTGATATTAAAAAAAGATCTAAAACGAAACTTCCATCACCCAAAATGATCGTTTAGATAAGCCTACTAGACACAAATGTTAATGTTACACTGACCCCTGGTGGTGTGTTTCTGTTCCTGCAGGTTGTTTTAGTTCTGATGGCATTAATAAGCCAATGAGTAGCCTAAATATTTTGTAAATCTACACAGTTGGGTGCACTATATAACTTTTCTGATGAGTCTGACACCTGTTTGTTTCCATGGAGATGTCTCTGCTTTATCTGACATGTTGTGCAGTATGGCATTAAACACATCTCTCTTGTTTTTATTGAGACACAGGGCCTTTTATTTAACAAAATGAAAAATCAATCAGTAAACAGGCTTGCCTTTTTACAGATCTGACCCACAGCTTGGCCTGGTGCCGTCACCTGCTCGTCTCCGTGGAGATTAAGAAGTTTAGTGCCATGCTGCAGAATGAGAACTCCGTGGTGACAAGAATTTGGCATACACCGTTCACCAATAAAGTTACACAATGCACCTTTAGGATGGTCCTGTCTGGAGCCCAGTTTGAGATCAGTTGGTGTAGACTCGGCCTGGGTCTGGTCTAGTCCTGATTTAGTCCTGG